CACAGAAAAAACACGCAAAAACAAGACACGAGAGAACATTAGGCAGCGGCGACGAAGCAAAAAAGTAAAAACATAAGACCACGCACAGAAAAAACACGCAAAAACAAGACACGAGAGAACATTAAGCAGCGACGGCGAAGGCAAAAAAGTAAGAACATAAGACCACGCACAGAAAAAACACGCAAAAACAAGACACGAGAGAACATTCGGCAGCGACGGCGAAGACAAAAAAGTAAGAACATAAGACCACGGACGCAAAGAGCACGCAAAAACAAGCCACGAGAGAACATTAGGCAGCGACGACGAAGACAAAAAAGTAAGGACATAAGACCACGGACGCAAAGAGCACGCAAAGACAAGACACGAGGGGAAGCAAAATGAGACGAGGTAGCGACGACGGCACGAGCCCAAAAACAAGGGCAAGAGATAAGACCACGCGCAGAAAAAGCACGCAGAAACAAGACACGAGAGAGAATCAACATTACGCAGCGACGACGAAGACAAAGAGAAAGGCTACGGCACACGCGGCGCGCAAGGGATGGGACGCCACGACTACACGCGAGGTTAGACGAAGGCAAGACATCCGCCGCAGAGGAGAGACGAGAGCAGACCAGCACAGGCGAGAGGAGACCTGACCCGAAGACAGAGAGCACAGCAGACCAGAGCAGAAGAGAACCGACCTGGGCGCAGCAAGCCAGGACGCAGCAGAGCACAGCAGGACAAGGCAGACCACTCCACACCAGCGCCACAGCAGTCGCAGACCCGCAGACGAGACCAGCACCCGCCCAAGCCAGAACAGAGCGAGCCAGACTGGACCACACCAGACCACACGTGACGCACACCAGACCAGGAGAAGACGGGACCCGACCACACCAGACCACACCGGACCGCACCAGAGCTGACCACAGCCGGCCACACCAGACCAGACAGAGCAGAGCAGACGAGACCACCAGGGCGCGGGGCGGAAAGGTATGGTGGCGCCACAGCGCACGGCTGTCGAGTGGTCTCCCTGAACTGATGCCGCCAGACCATGGCCACCGCCGCCGCGACGCGGCGCCAGGGCCAGCGCAGTGTAGTCCGCCACCGCCTGGGTCGGCGTCGAGACCACCGCAGAGCGCTGCGCACCAGACTACACTACGCCACGCAAAAGCAAACCGAAACGGCCCGAGCCGAAGCACAGCACAGCAGGGCCAAGGCAGGCCAGGCCAGGCCCGCCCACCTGGGCTGCGGGTGGGCTAGGTCTCTCTGGGCTGGCACTGGTCTGGAGTGGGCTGGGCTTGGGAGCGGCGGGGCGGGTAGGCTGGCGTGGCGTGGCCTGCCGTGGCCTGGTTTCGATTCGTTTCACATGCGCTTCGTTTGGTTTTCTCTCCTCTCGGGGCTGCTGTGCTCCTCTTTGCTCCTACGCTATGGCTGCTGCACTACTCTACGCCTAGTGGTCTACACTAGTCAGACTAAGTCTAGAGAAGCAGGAGCGAGAGTAGGGTAGCTAGAGGCGAGAAAGACTTGGCGTCGCCTGACATGACTCCACCACACTGCTGCGCCAGTCTTGTCTACGTCTACACCTACAGCACATACAGAGCAATACGCCCACGCCACATTGCTTTGCATGCATCTCGGCTGGATGCCGTTTCCTCCTGCTCCTCTAAAAGAATCTGCGCAAGTGCATGGCCAAAAGCTGGACCAGCAGGATGGTAGTACTGCCCTAGTGTCCCACTCGGTCGAGGACTTCGCACGCCAGGTGCTCTCGGCCAAAGTGATAGACGTTGTCCCCCGCCGGTTTTGGATCTGTATGGGAGGCCAAGTTGAATCTGAGGGGAGCACATGAGACAAAGAGGCCAGAGCCTGCATCTGGAAAATGAGGGAGAAAGAGTAATAGATACCCCCGCGCCCGGCAGTAGCCCTCTTGCTCCAATATTTTTGCCGGCACCAAAGCAGACCCATGCAAAGTAAAACCATCGGGCCCATCTAGGTCGTTGGTTCTTCGTGCATGGAGTAAGAAAGACTGCACGTCATCAGTAGCGTATGGCATGCCGTTCGACCTGTATTATTTGCGCGCCATAATTTAAAGAGCGAGACTGTCTGCGCCAGAATCTTATAGATATTTCTTTGCCGTAGGCTCCAACTGCGCAACGATGTAGCAAATGCCTTCGCATGGATGCCCGTAAGCATGCCGGGCGGCCATCTTCAGTCTTCCGGGGATAGAGTGTCTTCGCTTGGACACTGCATGGCGCGCCATGTCGTCGCCTTTCACAGAGATACCCGCCAACTGCTGCACATTCTTCATCCGCAGGCAGGTACTCAAGTGGTCCTGCACCAAGTGCGGCAATGAGTGCGGGCCTTGCTCTGTTCTCTACTAAGTTCGGCCTACCAGATGCTTGACGAAGCCGGAGCTGTTGAGAGGACGCCCCAGCTCCTTTAGTCCATAGCTCGGCCACGTACTCGCTGACACGCAGCATGGTCATGGTGTTCTATGCTGCCAATGGTTCGAAACGGTCGCACTCATGCAGCCAATGGACATAGTGGCAAAGCGCCTCGCTTGAAGTAGATGCGCAGTAGGATACTAGTAGCATGCCACGCATTACATCAGCCCGATGGCATAGTATGCGTCTAATCTTTCTAGCCCATGGGCCATCCCTGCGAGAGCATCCCTTGAACTGCACAGGAGTCCATCGATCAACATAAGCCGAATCAGCTCCGTTTCTACTCCGAGGCCTAAGAGCGAAATCGACGGGGCCTCTTGTCCTGCTATGGGGTCACGTCCTTTCCTGATCTGTGTTGCGAATTCTTGACGAGATTCCACCTCGGTAGCGCGTGGTCGTGGTCCCATTCTGAAGCCATCGCCCTGAGTAGAGTGGTCACGATCGTGCCAATTTTGCTCGTACAATGAGAATGCTTGAGAGCAGGCGACGCGCGTTGTTATTAATAAAGGCCAGGTCTGCAGCTGTGGCCAAGATGTTAGTCTGTCTCGCCCTCTTATCCTTCAGCCTCAGCGTCTAGCCAAATCCCCCACACAGGTCACGTTTTGCATTTTCCTCCCTCGTCTCTCCTTCATTGATAGGCAAACTAGACGGCTTCGCATGCATGTTCTGGCTGTTTGGCCATACTTGTAGACTATCAAAACTTCTGCTGCTAGATGTTGACGAAAAACATGACCTCGCCCGGATCCTCCAGCCGCTCCTCGATGCGTTCCGACCCAACTCCAACGGTCGAGCGCTCATTTGTGTACGTTTTTCAGGAGCATGCTGACCTTCATATCCATCACGGCCTCTCCAAGCTCCACTCTTACTGCCTGCACCAGCAACCGACCCAGCAGCAGCCTACCAGAAGCCCAGAGCCTATCTAGTTCTTTAAACTAGCTAGTTAAGTAGCTAGCTAGACCCCACTGAAAATTAAAAAATTTACTTTTTATCTTTTTACGCAGTATACTTTTTAAGCTGGCCACACATACACTTAATAGCGATTCTCACGCTTCGCTTTTACTTGTTTCGTTTCGCAGTTCTTCGCTCAGAGTTTACCCACGATTCTCAATAGGATATCTATCCCCAAGGAGACACTCGCGGCGCGCAAGCGCAAGCTTTTTGGCAATTTTTGCGAGAGCTCCGCGAAAGTTTGAGAGCAGTGAAATCAGTGACACGACTGAGCCACGTGCGACGCAGGGCCAGACCTCGTAGAACTCAAGGGTAGAAATCTCCAAACAACCAGCGAAATCACGCGCGAATGTCACCTATAAACGTCCCTCAATGTTTTTGGTTTCGCTAGGTCACGAACTCGCCGACTGGTGGGATCACGCTCACACGCCCACGCAGATCATTCGTCTCAACTTCGAGCGTCATTTCGAGGCGATTTCGCCACACTTCATAGGCCTCCCCAGCAGATCGACATGCCAGATTTTGCCGAGTCAGCAGTCTACCACCATCCGAGTCAGCGAACTTTTAATGCAATGTGTATCATTTGGGTAGTTTTCCTTCAAGTGGTATTTTCCAAGTGCTTTCGGTCAGTTTTCGACCCCTGCTATTTATCAGCTGCAGGTCACGCCAGTGGACTCGCGGGTGGTCCCCAGTCCTCTCCTACCAAAAGTCTCAACGTTCTCAGTAACGGCCCTGGCAGGGGCGGCGATCGCGTTCACCTTTTACACCCGTCGCCATTCGTCGGGTATAAGGGTGGCGCACTCTCATAGGGTGCTAGGACTAAGTCCGCTGATGGGGCGTTTTCATTCACCTCACGTGGGATGTACATTACGCGGGCCACGCCCCGTAGGAGGGGTGGGGGCAAGGCGTGCCCGGCTGGGTTCTGACTGTCCCCAGCTGGGTGCAGTCGGGTACATGCAGCACTGCGAAGGGGTCAAGCCTTGCCACCTGCTGCCCCCAGAGGCCTCCCACCCCCCCAAGAAACTCCCCCAGCGAGGCCTGTCAGGTACATGCAACACGGCAAGGGGGTCGAGCCTTGCCGCCTTCAAAAGTCTCCCACCCCCGGCCTTCGGTGCTTGAACGGCACTAGGCGCTTGGGCTCTGTAAAGCACACGCAAGGAGCCGCGAGGGTGCGGCGGTGGGCGTTTGGAGCCTTTCCCACCTGGCAGTCCCTCAGGGAAAAGGGCCCGGGGCTAGAGCTCCCCTCAGACGCCTCCCTAGATGAGGGGGGCCTCCTAGCCCTGAGGCTGAGCCCTGGAACATCTGTAGCTTTTTTCTATCCAACGTAGACTATGACGTCCGAAGCAGACACTATGTAAGCTACACTGTGTAAGCGGTCGACGAAGTTCCAGCTTCAATTTCGGGGGGTCTTGTTTCAGCCTGGACGTTAGGCGCGGCATTCTTTCGCTTTAGGTGGTTGTGAACAACAGTGCTGAGAGCGAGGTGGAACCGCGAGAAGTAGACTCGGTAGAAGTAATTCAGAAGCGCAGCTTGTATGTTCTCTAGTAGAAGTAAGTATTTAATTCAGACGCCATGCCATGCCATGCAGCCTCTGGCCCTGACCTGCCTGTCAGGGTTGGGGCCATTCGTTAGCCTTGCAGCTGTGCTAACCGTCAAAAGTAGAACTAATGACACAAGCACCCAGACTGTGACAGTGACTGACTCTCCACCAAGCATCTTATTGATAGTAGTGCTTTGCTGTAGAATTTCAGTAGGGACGCTCTGCTGTTGTAGAGTTCCAGTCTATGGATGACCAAGAAGTGGACGCCATCTTCCGTAGAGAAGTTCTAGAAAGTGTCATCCGTAGCGTTGAAAGTATGTAGTAGCAAGAACTAGGTGTCGAGTAATATTGACATTCAGGAATTGCAGCCATCATGTTGATTGATAAACACCTACTTTACCACTACTGCTTTTGCATCTTCATCTTCAGCAATTATCTTAATATATCATCGCCGATCATGATGCTAACACATTTTATCGTCTTCATAAGTCGGCGCTTCTTCTTTCTCAAGAAATTTTTCAAGTTCCTTGTTGCCTGTTTCTTTGTCAGCGCCAACTGCTGACACGACGAACTCGCAGGCTCCGCTAGTGCTGAGGTTGAATTAGAGTGGGGAACCCAAGTAGAGGCCTCACGCATGAGTTCACTAGTACGATACAGAATAACACTAGATGATCCATCAAGATCTAGGCTGTGCCCCATCGCTCGTGCATGTAGCATGTAAACCTTGCAACACCTCCTCCGCCGACCCCCACGCGCCCCCGGCGTGTGTGCACGCGGCGGGGGGCACGCCACGTGGGCGGCAATAACCTTAGCTGACCAATCACAAACACAACGCAGGCCGCACCAGTGAGCCTATTGATGGAGATGGCGCGAATCTATTCGGCAATCTGCCTAGGATTTCCCTGGCGACTTCTGCCCGCTATCCTAGCCCCGTGCTGGGTTGTCTGCGGTCTTTCGCGTGTTCCTCTTGGTCCTCGCATCTATAGAATGACGAGCGGGCCCGCTTGTGGTTTGCTACTTGCGACCAGAGGCTTTGGCCTAGTGCTTGCGCCCCTTGTTGCTTTGAGGTCAAAGGCCAGCAGCCATGGAGCCTATCCAGGTAAAAAAGCGATGCCTCTATGAGTTGTCGCTGTAGCGTGCTCAATTTGAGGCAACAGCGTATGCCTCAATAAGGCTAAGAGCAAAACTCTAGACCGACATCTTCGAGCAGGACTGTTATGACAGAGAAGAAGAAGAAGAAGAAGGAGAAGAAGAAAGCGGGGGCCCCATCTCCAGACAAAAATTACTCCAGCTCATAAATCTGTAGGTCGAACTGCACATCGTGAAGCGCCTCCGCCATCGTAATGCGTGATTTTAGCTTTGTCGTCACTCCTTGACTCCTCACAGGCGCAGGCGCACCCCCTGGCGCCGTTCCAGATCCTTACTCTTAGAAGGAGAGAAGCAGGGCGAACTAAATGGCTTTTTTGAAGTTATGAATAGCTCTTCGTAATCGAAAGACTGGACTTAGACAGACTAGGTGGATTCTTCGCCCACTTCTACCTACCCTGAATACATACAGGAGACGCAAGCGCGAGCCCATTTCTCTAGCGTCTTTACCTCTCTAACTATGTAGTTCTGAGCAGCAAGCTGGTCTGAAGTTGATGGAAGTAGGTAGATGAACCGCTTTTACTTCTCCTCATTGGTGTATAGCGGTAAGAATAAACGAGAGCGGAACAAACCAGCGCCGCAGTTGGTTTGCAGCTAGATAGGCGCTGGCCTGTTCACAGCTTAGGGAGAAGAAAAAACTGAGAGAATTTGAGGAACTTTGTAGAGCAACTCCTGGCAAGGCCGCCGCCGGCTGATCGAACGCCCAAAGCTGAAGGCCCATGCCCAAAGCTGAGGGGTCAAAGCTGAAGGGCCAAAGCTGAGAGCCCAAAGCCGAAAGCCCAGAGCTGAAGGCCCAAAGCTGAAAGCCCAAGGCCGAAGCTTCAGAGTTGAAGACCCAAAGTCAGAAGTTCAAAGTGTAAAGATCAAAGCCCAAAGGTGAGGGCTGAAGGCTCAAGACTAAAAGCCCAGACAACGCCGAAAGTTCAAAACTGAAAGCGCGAAGCTGAAAGCCCCAGCCCAAAGGCCCAAGGGTGAACGCTTAAGATTAATAAAGGCGGCGCCCCAGTGTCTCAAAGCTTCAAGCTTGGGCCTGGAAGTCCAAAGCCCTTGGCCATACCCAATAGAGACGAAGCGTAAGCGATCCCCGCCGGAAGCCATTGACTGTATCACAGGGCGAGGGATCTCGACAAGCTGCAAACGCGAGCGCTGCAACCTGCACGCAAAGAAGGCCAAACCTACCAAAAGGAGAGCACACCGGCAAGCCAGCGGCTTCGGCCTGTGCCTTCATTTGAATCAATGGCCGCACGCCGTCCCCCTCCCAGCTCTTTTCCCAACGAGCAAGACCAACGCCGCCAGACGCTTGGCGCGCGGGCGGGGGAGGAGCCGGGGAAGCGCAATCACGCCGGGGTTGGGGAAGTCCGTGCCGGGGGTGGATGATCCTAGTGGGAGGACTGCTGCCGGGCGCTCAGGGGCAGTAGTTGCAGGTTTATATCAGTGTTGAAAAAGGAAAAAAAAAGAGGAGGAGGAAAAAGATGAAGGCGAGCCTGCTGCCCCTGCTCCTCCAGTAAGAGAAGACCACTAGGCGAAAGCTACATAAGCCTTTTTTTTGGATTTGTAGAAGTGCACTGCATGCATTTTTCGCGCGGTCGTCATGTAAAGTCATTTATAGGCCCAATTTCTCTTATTTCAACTTGTGCTAGAGTTCTATTGATTGTGCCAGTTCCAAATATGGATAGACTGATAGACTACGACTTTCTGAATCTATCACCGCATGTGCTACAGGGAGCATGCATAGGCATACTATGTAGTAAACTTAAACTGGTTCTTGCCCTAGTCGACGGCGCTGGCCTCGGCCGTGACGCGCAGTGTTCCAGCGCTGCTCAGAAACGCGGCGAAGTCAGCCAGGTCCACATCCGTTAGAAGACCGCTAGTTCCAGGATGAGTTATCAAAGCAAAAAGTAACTTTTCTGAAGCTGAAGAAATAAGGAAAAAGTGCCTAGTACTTGAACAACTGAAATAAGCGCGGAGCCGATCAACAGACTCGCCGAGATTGATACTCAACTCAGGAGGAATGTCCTTTAGGGTAGCGCTCTTATTTCAGTCACTAACTCGGCTATTTCTAGCTTTCGAATACTTGACGCAAGCGGAATACTGAAAGGGGGGTGGCGTCGTAGTGCCGCTGTTTTTTCGGGTTGGCTGCAGTGCCAGCATTCCCTTACTTTTACAACTTTTCGAGTACTTTCCAACATATCTCTGAGTTGTATGCGCCCTATTTTGGGTTAGTCAATAACTGATGGCGTCATGCTTCTTGGGTCTCTGTCGCAGTTGAACAGAACTAGGACCTTGTTAGAGACGTTATAGCGCTTTTTACCTAGCAGTTGTTATAGAAGAGCCGCCTTCTAGTTGGTTCTGAAAATGGCTAGTAGTTGGCTTTCCCTTTCGCATAAAGGCAGCATCGGGTCGTCCGTCAGCTCGAAGGCATCTCTGACTGCTGTGCCCCTAGGACTACCCGAACCGCCTACAGCAGCCGGCCCTTGCGGTTGCGGAGTGTTAGACAAGCTCTCCTCATTCTTCTACTACTCGTAGTACTAGTGCTAGTACTGAGGTAGTTTTCAAACAAGTGCGGGCGCTGCAAATGTAGATGATGTAGCCCTTCTCCATCTTCATGGGTCACATTCGTGCTCTCTCATTGGTTTTGATTCAATATATGACACAAGGACGCACACCGCCCCCCCTGTGGATGGCCCTGCGGTGGCGCTCGCGCGCTCTTTTCCGCTCGGCTTTTCGCGGATTCTCAGGGTGGAAGGCGTCAGACAAAACTTGGCGCGGGCGTCCCTTTGCGCCTCTCAGGCAGGTTCCCCCGTGGCCTCCTGGCCTCTGCTGACCCTCTCCAGGGTAGAAGGCCGCCGAAGGCGCCCGCGCTCTCAAGAGACAGCAAGCCGATGACCAAGGGCCCGGAGGGCACAAGCCACACAGCCCAGCGGGCCCAGCCTTGCGCCTTTTGCCGCCTTCGGAGGCCTTCCACACCCAGCGAACTGCTGCGGCGGCGAAGCACATGCATAGGCGGTCCGTAGGCTACACGCAGACACCTGCAAGAGAGCGGAGGAGGCCCCTTGGGGCCCTTTGTTTAGAAGCCTTCCACCCACCTCAGAGGCCTGTAGGGTACAGGCAGGCAGCTGGAAAGGAGCGGGGGAGGCCCCTTGGGCCCCTTTGTTTTGAAGCCATTCACCCACCCCAGAGGCCTGTAAGTAAGGCACAAGCAGGCAGCTGGAAAGGAGCAGAGGAGGCTTCTTGGATCCCTTTTGAAGCCTTCCACCCCTGGCAGACGCCTCCAAAAGGGGTCCGGGGGTCCACGGCTCCCCCCCTACGCTACGGGGGGACGCTCCCCTGAACACTGAAGCATATTACTACTTATATATAGCATAAGCCTATCTGCTTTAAGCCTAATCAGATTAGTCTGAATTTCTTAAGAGCCTCCCTTAACTGAGGAGCCTGCTTAGCGAGGCTTCCTTGAGGAAACGAAAATCTTTAAGGGGTTTTCTATGTATTCTAAAAAGTTGCAATCGCTTTCCTTTACAAGACGAAGAGAACTCTCAAAGAGCTCCCTTCCAGCGGCTCTGGTATAAAATTGGGCTGATAGTAAGGCCTTCCTTAAAGGCCCTCCCCTCCCTTAAGGGCCCCGCGCCCTAGCTAACTGGCCGGCTTACCGCTTGCACGTACGTAGCTAGCTGCCTAGGCTCGCCGCAGCTAGCCTGCTAGGTGCTTAGCCCTGGCTAGCCTGCTAAGTGCTTACATACCTTAGCCAAAGCTAGCTTGCTAAGAAGTGCGCAGCCACGGCTAGCCTGCTAGCTGCTTGGCTATAGCTATCTAGCCTGCTAGCAAGCTTACCCCTTGCCCGTAGCTACCCTGCGAGAAGCTTCGCCATACATAGCGAGCCCGCTAGCTGCTTGCGGTTGCGCCCATAGTTAGGTAGCGGATTGGTCATAGCTAGCCCGCTAGCTGCTCAGCGGGCATGCCTAGCCTGCTAGCTGCTCAGCAGGCGTAGCCGGCTTGGTGGCTGCTTTTTAGGCATGCCGAGCCTGTTAGCTGCTGCGCCGTAGCTATCGAGCCCACCAGCGCAATCTAGCTCAGCAGCTGCTTCGTCATCGCCAGCCTTCTAACTTGCTTTGCCGCGTCCCGCGAGCCTGCTCGCTAGCTCGGCCATGGCCGCCGTGCTCGTGTCTGTCTAGTTGCTGCCGATCTATGCCCAGCGCAGCGGGCCCTTGGTGGGCCCGCTTTCTGGGCATGTCTATATATAATGAGAAAAAAGCTATGCGACTGAGATCCTTGCTAGCTTGTTCGTGAGAAATTAATTTCCGTCCCTGCGTCAAACAATACAATACAAAAAAAACTCGACGCGCTGTTGAGATTTGTCCGCTATATTATAAGTAAGCAGCAGAGCGTCTCCTGCCTTCACCTCCGCCTGACAGACTGACTGGAAAGTAATAATATGCCGTGGCCGGGGGGCCTATAGATACCCAGCTTGCGCCTTTCATGAAATAGGCGCTGGGTCAACTAGCCTACTAGCCCTGCTCTTGAAAATGAAGCTTCGCAGGTCGCAAGGTGCTTAGTCTAGCTGTGCCCGGGATATCTGGAGCTTCGATATAATATAATATGAGATCTTGATCTTGAGTCTTCTATAATAGAGGTGTCGTCTAGACTGTAGGTGTCTTGGGTCTATAATAACGTGGTAAGCGTGAGATAAGTGCCTGAGAAAAGTGAGAGATAAAGGAGAGAAGAAGCTGCAGGTTTAGATAAAATGAGGCTAATGGTCACCATCGTGATGCCTATCCCAGAATGCTCATGCTCAATCGCATTGATTTATCTTCGTCGCTGCTTCCTGTGGTCATAAGGCGGGTGAACTTTCTGAAACCCAGTTGATAGAGCGTTCTCCAGAGCAGAGGCGATCCGAAACACAAGAAATGAACGGCGGTCATAAGTTCTCTAGAGATCACTTAATGCTTATTTTCTTCAGTGACAACTGGTCTCATACCGTCACAGGAAAAACTACCCCTGTCTACTTTTTGTCCCACTTAGTTCTTCTTTTTAGCCTGAGGAGTATGGGATGAAGGGCAAGGGAGGGGTATAAATGTCATAAATCTGACATGAGTGGAGAGTTGGCCTCTTCTGAGGCTTATGAAATGTCGTGAGAGGTTAGATTAGGTTAGGCGCGGGTCGACTAGAAAAGCTAACAGACGCGGCTGACTACTGAAGAGCCAGAAGCAAGTTTGTCTGTCATGCGTGTCATAATGCTGCTTGTCTTTCGCTACCCCGAGGCCCTTGATGTATAAGATGTGCGCTGCTTCTTCTCGGGCTATCCCTTTCCCCATCGGTATCGCGTGGATAAACGAAGCTCAGCCAAAAGGATCCCTTGGGAGCCCTGCCTAAACCTTCGACCTTTCTGCATAAATTTTAACTTTAGGCAGAAAAGTCCAAACTTTAGGCAGAAAAATCCAAAATTTAGGCAGAAAAAAACAAAGTTTAGGCAGAGAAACGGCTCGAATTTAGTCCACCGCCCCGCTCCGGAGCCACCGGGTGGCTCCGGAGCGCAGAAGTGAGCCGTTAGGCAGTGGCCTGGTGAACTTTTAGGCAGCCGACTCCGCCGCAGCGGCACAGCGCTAAAGCTGCCCAAACAAAGGCAGGATCTGCCTAAAGTTAAAACTTAGGCAGAAAACTCGAAGGTTTAGGCAGACCGCGAAGGGATCCTTTTGGCACAGTCTTCGTCCATAATCTCGCGCGGCTCAGGTTTGTAGATTAGAGCCCTACGCCATGCCATGTTGCCTCTGTACTGTTCCTGAACTTCTTTTTTGTCCTAGTGTCTACATGCCTGGAGCATTCAAGCAATGGACTGTCAGAGGGTTCAGGGCATTTAAATGATGGACTGTCAGAGGGTTGCTGTCCTACTGGAGGAGTCAGCTACTGGACTGTCAGGACATCAAGTACTGAAATCCAAATCAGCAAGTAACTACTTAGACTCACCCGATGCACTGACAGGAAGGCAACCGGCCTTGGGCTTCCCTCACGAGTGTGCGACGTGTCTGCTCATACTTGTATGCGCGATGCCTCAAGGGTATAAAACACACACAGGAATGTACGTACGCCATTGCTTCCTTCTTTTTGAAGATGCGTGTGGCCATAACTTGGGGGGCATCTGTGCGCGTCGCTTGTCATGCTCCTTCGCACTTCATTAGAATGACCGAAGACAACACAAAAAGTAAGGCTATGCAACGAGAAAAGCCCTGGGCTAAAAAAGTGCCTAGGTAGCATCCCTGACTTGTTATTTACCATGCCTCAAAAAATACTCGCACTTGTAGCAGCCCCAGGAGAGCAGCTGCACAAGCGCACGCACTTATAATTAGGAGATATACCTAGGGCTTTCTAAAGTCTAAATTTCTCGAAGGAGTGGAACTGGAAGACCGCTAACAGAGTCTATTGCCGCTACAGCTAACGCATCCACTTTTGCCTTGTATAATATCAGTCAATTCAGATACATTATAGCAACTACAAGAGGCATACACGCTGTTACACGTGCACGTGCTTAGACACAAACTAGCTTTTACGCATGGGGCCGGAATTCGTGCACAGTTGCTTTTTCATAACATTTTTGCCTGCCTTTTGGTCCTGGTGGCAGATTCGCGCACAAGTATCCAGTCATGTGTTTCCATGTCGGTGTCGTTGTAACGCCATCGGTAAGCCCTTGCCTCTTCTTAGAATTGATTGGCTGACTGACTGAGAGAGGCCGTCGCCCACCGAAATGCGTTGCCTCACGAAAAGGGGGATCGCCTTCCGCTGCCGCACCGGCCGCGAGAGGCGCAACGCAGCTAACGGGCCAAACGCCTTGCCTGCCGCCGGTGATACCACTCTCCGGGGGACCAACCTACAAGGCAAGAAGGCTCGGCAGACCCCCTCTCGCAGGGCTAACCCCGGTACAGGAGAGAGTGGTCTTCTCCATCTGGTCAGGAGAAAACTTCTTGCCAGCCGACGCGCTCTGCCCGATGGTCATGGCCGGAGGGTTGCCCTCGATGTTTGCGAGGTGCTCGGCAAGCGTTCCGACCCGCAGAGCCTCTGGTGGAAGTGTCCTAGCGGGAGCCTACTTCAGGGGTGAAATGTGCTGTCAGCTGGTTGGTCACCTTTTCGCGGATTGCTCACTGGCGCCACAGCATGTTGCCTACGCCATGGCGGACCCGGTCGAACTGGTAGCGAAGGACCCCAGAGGCACACCGACCGCATCTTGGCCACGCTAGGTATCCCGAGCACACCTTCCTCCCTCTTGGCCCAAGAAAAAGAAAGAGCCAAAGCCAAGCAAGGCAGAGGAGGAGGAGAACACGCCACCAGAGTGGAAAGCCAGCGCTAGCAAGGCGGCCCGAACCAGACAGGCGCTGGGCGGCGCTTGGGGCACCAACACCAGCGCACCGTCTGGCAACCTGTTCCAGGCGATTGGCCTCCTGGATGGGCAGGGGAGTGGGCTAAGGTAAAAGAAGAGGGGCAAGACTGACGGCCGCGTGGTAGTCTGACTTAGCACCAAGGCGGAAATAATTAAGAAAAGTAAAACAAGAAAGCCCAAAAAGAAACGAGAAAGAAGAAAAGAAAAGAAGAGAAAAACCGAGTAAAGACTCTAGGGCGAGCTAAGACCACGAGGCTGCACCTCACTCCGCAGAGACCTGACGGCCCTACTAGAGGACCACACCCCCCCAAGGTGAGCACCCGGCCCGCGGGCCTAGCCCAACGCGACCCCCTCACACCAGTCGCAGTGCTGTACTGTCAAGGCCCTTGCGCCTTCCCATGACTCAGCCTCGGGAGGCGCGATGGGTGGCGGGTAGCGGGCTCCTCCGGCAGTAGAGAAGTGCGGCGAAAGCCGGCCCAGCATGCATCACAGGCCCTGGCGTGGGCCTGCGTGGTAGATCACGAAAGAAGGCGGACGGCCTGGCCGTGTGCCCGCGTGACATTGTCCAGCGATCAGCCCGGAGTGGGGTTTTCCTCCTCAGCTGGGTCGCGAGGGCTCGTCCTTCATTAGCCCGACACAGCGTTACGCAATCAAAGCGGGCGGGAACTTTTGTGGGCTAGGTCAGCGGGGGCGCGGTCGCGCTTACACAGTCCAGAGCTGGCCCTGGCTCTGTTTGTTCCTCCGTTATCCAGCGCCGCCGTTCATTAGACGGCCGCACATAGTTGGCTGACCGACTGAGTGACTCCTGGCTGGTTGATTGACGTGCCTATTCGTGTGGAAAAGGAGCTACGTGCGAGGGGAGAGGGGGCTAAAGTTCGCGCGCTCACTGGTTCAATTTTTCACGTTTGCACCTTTTCTGACGTTTTATAGCTCCCGCGTAAGGTGTTGAGTGATAGAGGAGGCCAGCGAATCTTGATTCGTCAACATTCGACGACCCCCGCTATCATTCATATCAGATGCGCACCCGCACAAGATAAGCGAACTCTTCTAATTGAAAAGCAAAGTCTAGCAATTCTGTATACCGAAGCTGCTACATATTTCTAAGCCAGCACGCAACCAGACAGCATGCTCGAGCTTGCGTCTCTTTCTCATACTAGTTTAGACTCATGCTCAAGCTCAGCATTCCCATAAGTGGATCTTCTGCGCCGTCCTCCTGCTTCGCCGCCTTTCATTAGCGTGAGCGGATTCATCTTGAGAGCACGCAGGGCCGCAGCCTATTTAGTACGACCCACGATAGTGCTACGCACGCACGAAGATCAAAGCCCAGCCAAGTCGCTCGGCGCTCCGCATTCCCTGAATTGAATCGCGTGGCTCGAAAAAAAAGGACCCCCCTAAGGTGATGCATGGCGATGATGGGTGGCCTCTCGTTAGTGTACAGCGCACCATCAGGATACGCCCAACAAACACGCGCACTCTTTTCAGGTTGTGGATGTTACTCGGTAACACCACCACCACAACAACAGGGACAAGCCTGCCAGGCGCATGATGTCTGGAGGACTTTCGATAAGCTCTCAGAGTTACACTCACCCACACCCGTAAGGCTTTCCTCAATGGCCAACCTCGAAAACGATGGCGCAAAGGGACACCCCAGCCAACCTCCAGCGGCTGGCCCACCTGGACAACCCGCACCCAGCCAGAACTCTGCCCAACATGTCCAGCAAGGTCAACCCAGAAACAGCTACCCACCTCATTCAAGGAGCCAGACACTACAAGGCCATCCCAGAAACGGTCGAACGCCTCAAGGAGTTGGACAAGGTCGACCCGGCAACGGTTACCCGCCTCGAGGAGGGCAAGGCCCACCCGGCGCCATTGCCTTGGTGACGGCGTCAGGGGCGACGTTTCAGGAATGAGCCCCAGAAATTCAAGAACTTGGGGCCCGTGGCTTTGCAACCAGATGGCCACAGCGGTGACCACGTTCGGCGGCAACGGCAAGCCAAGAGCAACGAGAGGCAACGGCGGGCACCATGGCCGTGGTTCAAGAACTTAGACAGGAAAACACCCAAGAAACAACCACAAAAGCAACCCAACGGGAAGCGGAAAGGTAAGGCGGAGCGAGCCGCAGAGCGTGCGCGGAAGAAAGACGAAGAGGACACCAAGCGAGCAGCAGACGCGCGCAAGGCTGTAAAAAAGCACGAGGGCCGAGGCCAGGAGGCTTACCACAGAGAGAGAGCGCGAAAAAACCTGGCGGGCCGGTGCGCTGAAGGTGTCAGACTTGGCAAGGCCTTCGAGGTTTCTTAGTGGTGGCGCGGACTGGCTGGCGCACCTTGCACCAGAAAAGCCGAGCGAGCTCGCACCAAGGCGCGAACCCTCGGCGGAGTCCTTCTACTTGAACACATTAGAAGGCGAGGCGAACCAGTTGGCCCGCCCGGGTGACACTAACGACCACGAAACGGCCCGGGGGATTTTCTCGAAACTCGAGCCGGAGAAGGCCTGCCCAGGTCTAGCAGGCACGCCCGCGAGAATTCAGAGGGCCAAGAACGTGCGAAACAACTGCAGCGGGGCTAGGGCGACCCCTCAAATGTTTGGCGGCTTCAGTCGCTCGCGACTTGAAAGATGCCAAACCAGAGACGCGAGCGACCGCTAGCGCCCTGACCAGCCTAGGCCAGCCGTGCAACCGTGCGGGGGTCTTGCTCCTTCTCTCTTGGACAGAGCTGGAAGGACGAAGTGGATTCGGCTGCTGTGGATGCCTGCGCGAAGCAGCGCGAGCAGAGTCTTCTCGCGGCAGCAAGAAACAGACGAGAACAGAACGACAAGGCGCGCAGGATTCTTTCTACCTCGAAGGGACCCCGCGCAGGGGATCGCAGAGAGATGAGAAGCTGGAAGCGCAGAAACAAAGTGCCAGACAGGCGACCACGGTTGGCCCAGGTGAAGGCGCCCACACAACAAGCGCAAGAACAACGGCAAGGACCTGCGGGGACACAGTCCGAGTCGTGAGCGCCAAGACAACAGAAGCCGCAGCCGAGGGCGCCCTTCTGGAGCTCGAGAAGACCAGCACAGAAGCAAGCCCAGAAGCAACAACAACAAGCACCGAGGGACAGAAGCGCCACGCCGGCCCGAGGGAGGTCGAGTAGCGTGAGAAGCGAGAGAGCGCGTAGTGCCAGCGGCAGCAAAAGAAGCACAAGGAAGCGCAACCACCCAAGACACCCTAAGCAGCAGCGAAGAAAGCCAGAGGGGGAAGCCGGTACAGAGCGGCGCCCCTTTACTTTAGACGAAGCAAGTGGCAAGGTGTCCCGCCTGTGTTTGGTTAGCAGAAGCGGCCTAAGTAAAAACGAAGAGACACAAAACAACAAGAAAAACAAGCGCACAGGCGAAAAGCCTCGGAGGGTGCTAGTAGTGGTAGCGATTCCGCATCCATCCGAGCCGGATGCAGAGACAGCGAAAAGGCTAAAAGGGACCAAAGTCGGTCAGCATATGGCGAGAGCCATGCAGGCAATTAATCAGCGGGATCGCGCGACGGAGTCGCAATGCGCCGACACAGGCAAGCCAGGGCCTGCGTGTCGATGCGATAGCCGATAGTGAGGCCGAGCCATGTCACTCGCCATATCTGAACCACTTCGAGAAACTCAGGACCAGGCGCGTCCTAGTATCAGCACCAGGGGAAGAAATTCCTGGAACTGCACGGGAGGGCATTCCCAGAAGTAGATCGCTGAGAGAACTTCGCCACGGGGCCCGTCTACCGTCCAAGGCTATCAGATTTCTACGTCTCCGCTCCGCAGATGCAGCAGGCGGGGGCCATGCGATCTTTCCCACCCGGTGGCGGTCAATCCCGCCAGGTGATACGGAAAAGACCAACAGGGGAACACCTGGGGACCGGGGAAGGGGGGCCCCCCCGTGGGACTTACGGAACGCCGCAGAGCTGTTCGGGACGCGTGACGCCCAGCGCGTGACGCCGAGAGCTTCGCGGGGGGGGAGACGAGACGCCTGGGCCCAATTTCAAGCGTGACGCAGCACGCAACTAATTTACACGAGGCGCTTCACGTGTCACGCGGCGACCGGCGCGTGGTCCGTGGGTCTTTGAGCGATCCGGGGACCTCTAACCGATCCGCGGGCCGCGCCGACCTCTGATCGATCCGCAAGCTTTTGGTCGATCCGTGGGCCTTCGATCGATCCGCGGGCCCTTGATCGATCCCCAGCCCCGTGGTCAGTCTTGGCCGATCCGTGGATCCTTGAACGATCCGCGAATCCTCAGCCTATCCGTGGGCCCTTGGCTGATCCGTGGGTCTTTGATCGATCCGCTGGCCTTTGATCCAGCCGCGGGCCCTTGATGGATCCGGGGGCCCTTTGTCGATCCGTGCGCGGGTCACTGATCAGCCCACGGGTCACTGATCAATCCGCGGGCCACTGATCATTCCGCGGATCACTGGCCAAGCCGTGGGCCTCTGGTCAATCGATCCACCGATCACTGACCAGCCTGCGGGCCTTTGATCGGTCCGCGGATCGCTGACCAATCCGCGGATCTCTGAGCAATCCACGGATCACTGCGCAATCCACGGATCACTGATCAGGCAGCGGCCAGCGGGTCCGTCGCTGATCAATCCGCAGGCCACTGATCAACCCGCGGATCACTGACCAATCAGAGTCAGCGAATCGCTGACCAACACCAATCCGCGGATCACTGACCAATCCGCGGATCACTGACTAATCCACGACTCGCTGAGCAATCCACGGATTGCGGATCGATTCTCGAATCACTGACCGATCCACGGGCCACCGATCGATCCGCGGATCGCTGATCGAGTCGTGGGTCGCGCGTGCCGCGTCGTGGGTCGTGCATGACGCACCACGCGTCAGGCGTGAAAAGAAGAGCAAGAGGGCCACCCTTAAAGTAGGGGGGTTACGCGGTGGGACTAATGTGGACAGCAGTGTGGCGCTCGGTCCACACCTCCCACGCGTGGCCACCTCCTTTGGAGCTGGGTTGCCCACGAAGTTAAAGACCATAGCAAAGATTAGAACCAAGCAAAACGCGCGCCCTGAAGTCTTGAGACGCGAGAGACCGGGGCCGCACTTCTTAACTTACCCCTACCAAAAGGCATGCTCTGCGCCGACTGTATGGCGACACATGACTGCGACAAAAAGGCAGCAAAGAAGGCCAGGCATTCCATGCGGAAGCCTACACGCTCGAACCAGAGGCAGCCGGCTGACTTCAAAGACCTAGCAAGCGACCAGCAAGGGAGCACGCCTGGCAGTGGGGTCACCCCTGGGGCCATTGATGACCATGATCGGCGCCCGATGGTGTTGCCAGTAAAATCCTCCACGTATGCCGATGAAGCTACGCGAAAGACCACGAGGCACACAAGACCGCCAGAGGAAACCCGGCCGAACAACGGTCCAGAATTTCAGACAGAGAAGCGGGCCAAGATGCTCGCCTACTTGTACGCCCGAGCCAATTCGTACGCGCCACCGTACTCGCCTACGGCAATCTCTCGAGTCGAGCGCCTTTGGAGAACAAGGAAGCAGCAACAAAGAAAGTCAAGGCACTAACCCGGGGAGCCGAAGGCAAGCGGGCAGAAATGTGCACCGTGGCCCCCCTCTGTTCGATTCGCGCGAGAGAGCCCAAGGAGCAAGATGGAACAAGAACAGAGACCACGCCACAAGAACGACGCCACAAGAAGAAGCCAAAACATCAGAAAACTGAGAAGGTCCAGGCCTTTGCGCTTCGTTCTAGACGAACACCCAGCCAGCAAGAGCGCACCAAAGTGGCTGCCGGCCGTGTTCGTGGGTTACAATCGGGTCCAAAGGCTTCCCAGCGTGTCCGCGTCAGTCTCTACTGTAGCTAGCTACAACAAAGCGGAGCGGTTTGTATTGTCCGCATGGTGAACCGAACGCCCCAGGGCTGTCCAAATGAGTCCCGCCGCATACTCTCCCCTATTACAAGGGCAGCTCTTGCTGCTCTCCTTGATGCATGACGCGCGACGCTTCTCTTTCTGGAGCAAAGCCAGCCACGCCGCTTCTCTTTCTGGAGGCAAATCGAATCCGCTGACCTCTCGCAAAGCCGCTAGTTTCTCGAGGCGAGTCCGATTGCTTTTCGCAAAGCCCCTAGGCAGTAAGCAAGAGGCAAACCCGTCGGGCACAGCTGTCGAAGCCCAGCCCCCTACCTAGTGGCCAAGAGGCGAACCTTTCGGGCCCGGCTGTCGCGACGCCACTTGTAAGCAAGAGGCAAATCCCCCGGGGCCAGCTGTCGCAACGAAGGCGATGGCGATGATGATGACGCAGGCCCACCGATCGGATGGGGCACGATTATCAACGAAGCTCAGCCAAAAGGATCCCCTGCGGGCCCTGCCTAAGCCTTCGGCCTTTCTGCCTAAGTTTTAACTTCAGGCAGAAAAGTCCAAACTTTAGGCAGAAAAGTCCAAAATTCAGGCAGAAAAGTCCAAAGTTTAAGCAGCAGAAGCCGAAGCTTAAGCAGGGAAACGGCTCGAATTTAGTCCACCGCCCCGCCCCGGGGCCACCGAGTGGCTCCGGGGCGCAGAAGTGAGCCGCTAGGCCGTGGCCTGGTGAACTTTTCGGCAACCGACTCCGCCGCAGCGGCACACCGGTAAAGCTGCCTAAACAAAGGCAGGCGAGTACGCCTAAGCTTAAAACTTAGGCAGAAAGCCCGAAAGCTTAAGCAGACCGCGAAGGGATCCTTTTGGCACAGTCTTCGCTCATAGGCAAGACACCACCCCACCCCTGAGGCCGCTTTACCTAAGAGGTTTGCCAGTCTTCCCTAAGGTAGAAGCCAACCCGTCGGAGCCACCTGTCGAAGCGCCACTAGTGTAGTAAGGAAGAGGCAAGCCCATCCATCGAACAAGCCGGCCTTCGCAAAGCCGCTAGTACCTGAGAGGCAAGCGCGGGCCCAGACGCTCGCGGCTTTTACGCTAGGGCCGACGTGCAAGGTGCTCGCCCTCTGGGCTGCTTCTCGTGGTCTTGGGCTCGCTTTTGCGTTAGTTTATTACATGCGGAGGGCCGCTGTCTTTTTTTTGAAATGCGACGCGGAGCGCGCTGCGCTATATGTTGCAGCTGTTGCTCGCCGTTGCCATCCGCTTCGTCTGTGTGCCGGGGTCAGTGGGTTCGGATTCTCCTGCCGGCTATTGCCCGCACCAATAAGGCCGAAGCCTACTGCTCTCCTCACGTACGACAAGCCACGCACTTGGGACAGACGTGAGCAGAAGCACAGCGCAGAAGACTTTGCCGAAACAGGTTCGATCCTCGAAAAGAAACACCACGAAAGAACCCACTTGCTTCGCCTTGCTTTTGTCCTACTCACATACTAGCGCTCACCTATAGCCATAACCATGATGCCCAGACCTAAGCTGACGCGGCGCCACCCTTTGGCGCTGCCCTTGTCGTTTTCCTACAGACTGCGCTAAAAATACTCACCGCCTTGACTGTCTTGCGGCATGCTCGTACTGTTTCGCTCGCCCTGGTTGCGCGTTGTGCTTCTTACTTTCTTAGTCAGTCTTAAACCGACCGCGGCAGAGCTAGACTGGCAGCGTCAGCCGCAGCACTCTCGCAGCTCAGAAGCCCCGAACTTCGAGGCGCTTTATTAAGTGAGTGGCTTAGCCTTAAACGAATCCAGGGCGATCCCACTCGACGACGACAGAGCCCAACTCCGAGGGAGGCAATTGATGCAGCGACAGCTAATGCAAGGCCACCCAGTGCCTGCCTTCCTTAACTCAGAAGGACCTAACTCGCAGACGCTTACCCCAACACATTCAGACGCAGCTGATGCACTCACTTCAGAGGCGCGGCAATGAACAACCAACGGGCCCAGGGCCAGGCGGTAACGTAAAAACAGCGAAGACACCACAGAGAAGCGCAGCAGCCTACATTCTGCCACTTCTCGGCATTGGTCACAGCGATGGGCTGGCGGCTACGTTTAGACATAGACCCAAGCGCGCGAGGTGATGAAGATGATGACAGACGCAAGCCCACCGATCGGGTGAGGCGTGGCGCCATCTCATCCCTGCAACCGTTTTACCTAAGAGAGTTGCCCTCTTTCAGTTAAAAGGCTGCCCCTACTCGACCCCGCAGAGAGAGGCCGGGCCCGCCTCCGCCACCTCTCACTCCGGGAGACCCCAAGGAGGCGAGGGGGGCTCGCTTCGCTTGCTCTTACCCTCCTGCACTGCGTCCCCCTTCGTCAGAGGGCCTCCCCTTACGCGGCCCCTTCGGTTCGGCCTTTTTTTTTCGCTGCTCTGTTCCCTTCGTGGTCTTCTTGGCCTCATTTCGTCCGGCGGTCCCTTTGCCAAGCCTCCGCCCTTTCTCTCCTTTTTTTTCACTCCTGTGCTGGCTTTCTTCTTCTCTTTCGGCCTTGCTCTTTGTTCTCGTTGCTGCTTCTTCTTAACTGCTGTGGGGCTACCCGGTGCCCCCGCTGCCCCCTTCTCGTCCTTTCTCACTCTTGAGGGCGCTGCCCTTCTCCTCCTCTTGGTCTCTTGGCTGCTTCTCCCCCTTCTCCCTTTTTCTGAGAACTATCAGCGGCCCCTCCGCCAGCCGCTTTTCTCCTCCAGTCTTTTCCGCCCCTGGGGGCTCCTTTGGCTTCTTCCCTTCCCTGAGTCCCTCCGGCGGTTTGCCCGCGGTTCTCTTTTTGCCTTCCCTTCTCTTCCCCTCTGACTCTTCTCTCTCTTGGGCTTTGCGTTGGGCCTCTCTTTTTGCCCTATCCTCCCGCCCCTCTTCCCTCTGTCTTTTTCTCTGGGCCTTGGCCTCTTCCTCCTGCTCTTGCCCCGCAGAGTCCTCCTTTTTTTTCTCCTCTACTTCCCTGCAGTGGGTGGCCCAGATTTCTCCCCCTTCTATTCTTTTACACCCTTCGCAGCATTTCCCCGGTCTCTCCGCCGGCCAGCTAGAGCGACAGCCACGCGCCTGCTCTTTGTGTGGGCACGTCTTTACCTTTGTCACCGGGCCCCAGCGCATTCGCTTGGCCCCGTGGTGCGTATGCCTCCCAGCTTTTCTCGGTCTTCCTTACCCTTTTGGCCTGTTCTAGCCACTTCTGGCGCGCCTGGCCTGTGCCGTGCATCACCTGGCACATACCGCAGCGGCGAGCGTCCGACTGTGCCCCCTGGCATTTCTTCACCCCCCAGGGGCACTCTCGCCGGCTGTCTAGGTCGATGGCCTCCCCTGTCTGCTCATAGTGTTCCCAGTCTTCCACAAGTTTGCAGAGCTCTCCCGCCTCTTGCTTCTGTGTCTTGGATGTGCACGCCGCTCCCTACGCCAAGGAAGTGCGAGAGCCTTCCCAGGTCACCGGCGTCCGCTCCATCATGTCCCCGCGGTCCTCCTTCCATTCTCGCTCCCTTTCACTTGCAGCCTGGTAGCCACAGCTAACGCGTTCCCCCTCCTTCCAGTTTTTTGCCGTCCTTACCCGGTGCGCCCCTAGGCCCTTTGTGCCTTTAAAGCCTTCCCGCACTCAGTACTTGCACGCCGTCCAGTCCCTGTCTTCTCGTTCTCCTCTTCTGGTATTGTGCAAGACTCTCGCCGCCACGTTCCAGAGTTCCCCCCAGTGGATCGACTGCGGGCAGCGTGTCACGAGGTTCCACGCGTCTGCCATTCCCAGCCGCTCCACCCAAGTCTGTACGCGTGGCGGTGGCGTCTCTGGTCTCTTCCAGCTCCTCCAGGTCCCGCGCTATTTCTACTACCTCGCTCCGTTCCTCCATATTATGGAACCCCACCCCCGGTTCGTTTTGGAGGGGTTTCTCTAGGCTCTCCTTGGATTTCTTCCATGTCTTCGGCGGTCCCTTTCTCCTAGTGCTCGCCCTGACCCTCCTGGCGGGCATTGCGTTCAGCCTCGTTGGCCTTGAGGGTCATCCCCAGGCCGGGCCCTCTGCCCCACTCTTTCCCCCTGTATCTGTCGACTATTGCAAGTAACCCCAGGCACTCCCACTTGCTCCGAACCGTGGGGAGGCGGGCCCCCCTGTCTACCTCCTCCTGCGGCAGGCGCTGCCCCTTCCCCACGATTCTGCACGCTGCGCGGATCTCCTCTTTCATCATGTCCGTGAGCAGTAAGGCCGCCCCCTTCATTCCCGAGGTCTCTCCTGCCTGGGTTTGCTCTGCTGCATCTGCTCCATGTCGTGGCCTGACAGTTTGGACGTGTCGGGCCCATAGAGTAGGGCGGTGCCCCCCAGGGCTTCGACTAGCATCCCCCTGCCGTGTTGGTCGATGTCCTCATCTCTTAGGAGCGGGCTGACCATCCTCGCGGCCTTTTTAGCCTTGTTCAGCCGGTCAGCCACCTCCGGCTATGTGGCGCCGTCGGTGTTTATGATGTCCCCGACAAGGCGCCCGCTTCTTTTAATCAAGTCCGCCCCTTTTGGCTCGAAGTCGTTGCCTCCTAGTCTCTCACTTGAGGCCGTCCCCTGCCCTCCTGGTCTGGTGGGTCAGTTTTTCCCGCGTGAGGGTCTCCTTTCTTGATTTGTTCACTATCATGCTGTAGTCTTCCACTACTTCTTCGAAGATCTCCACCACCCGGGCTGTCTCCTCCACCGTGTGCCCCAATGGGCTTGCGTCGTCAGCGTATCTATACGGTGAGGCTAAAGGCCCTGCCTGTGTCTCTGTCAGCCCCTCACGCGCTTGGACCCCCCAGGGCCACCCCTCTGGGCGGCTGTCCCTCTTCGGGGGCCAGGTTGCCCCATTCCTTCACCCTTGGCTTCCATTTGCGCCGGCTGTTCTGCCACCCTTTTCGCGGTTCCTCAGTCGCGTTCGCTGGCTTGGCCACTTCTGCTCCCCTCAGTTCTTCCCCCTCTCGTCTTCGCTCGATTTCTTCATCACTCATCACAAGCGTGTAGATGATGAAGAGGCACGGGGATACTGGCGACCCCTGATGCGCTCCGAGGTCTCCAAGCGCGCGGGCTCCAGTCTAGGTCGTTGGCAGTTCTCTACTTCCAGCCAAATCAGAGAGCTCCACGCAGGGGGGCCCCTAGATTAATCGAAGCCGAGCCCCTCACGTCCGTTGCTGCGTGCTGCGGGCCGCTTGAAGATGAACGCAGACACCTCACCCCCCCCGGAGCTAGGTCTAGGCGTGACGCGGTGGGCGTCACGCGTCACGCGTCACGAAACACCCCCACGGCGTTCAGTAAGTCCCGCGGGGTTCGTTTGCCCTGGCCGAGACAAGCCCGCCCAAATTCTGCGAAGCCTATAAAAGCGGCAAAGCTGAACACCTACAGGACCCACGTCTATTCGAATTGCTAAGCACGGCGGAGCCCGATGCCCTTGCGTCAGCATACACGGCGCCGACTCTCAGAACACGCCAGGCGCCCGAGATGTTATCGGATTGGAAGCAAGAAAGGGAGCCAGAAGCTGTGGCGCAAGAGTCGAAGGGGGAGGGCCATGGTGTGGGATGAATCAACAACAAAGACAAGAGCGGGGGAAGCGTCCTCAGTGGCCCCAGAGCAAGTTGGGGCGCAGCCTGCGCGACAAGTGGAAGCAGCTGCTATAAGTCCGGGAGAGCAAAGGCCACAAGAGCAAAAACAAAGCCCAAAGCCATCAGAACAAAATCCCCAAGCCAAGGAGGGCCCGCCTGGTGCAGTTTCTTCCGGTGGGCTCGGCACTGACGACAAAGCCAGAGAGCACCCGGGCAGAAGCGTGGAACAACCACAAGCAGAAGGAACAACTTCGGGGGAAGTCCCCGACAGTGAAGGGCAAGAAAGCTAGCAAATAAAGGAACCACGTTCGTCGGAACAGCCACAAGCGAAGCGCAGACGGGGTAGACCTAAGCGGCCGAAAGACACGAAGAAGCACAAAACGCGGGCCGGCGCATGAATCAGGACGCACCGACGAAAATCAGCAAGGCCACGCATGAGCTCAGTAGTGAACAGACGCGCGGTAGGCCAAAGCCTGGGAAGAAGCTCCAGCACGTTGACGCAGGCACACAAGATTCGGCCCCAGCCTCAGAAAGAAGACTGGGACCCGTATCGAGATTGATAGGAAGCTACCAGGAGCCTGAGGCAAGCCTTCCCTTTGGAAAGAAACCGATCGAAAGGAGGTTGCGGCGGGGCTCGTAGCTGCTACATGTTGGCATGAGACACGAAGACCCGCCGAAGGACCAGCCGCCTCCTCAGAGAAAGCGCCCGGCGCGTGCGCACATGGTTCGCATGCGGAAGCGCTGGGGGCGACGGAAGTCGCGGCTGATGGCGGATGGTTCCACGCAGAACCTCACGAGGGGCGGAGCCTTTTCACCGACGCCGAGCCGGTGAGCGCAAGGCTTCAGATTGTTCACGCAGCTCAGAACGATTGGGCCACTGATGGCGCTGACGTGGCGCAAACATTCACCAAGGCAGACACTCCTGAGCCAGCAATGATCAGACTCCCCGCGGAATGATGACGATGATGATGCAAGCCCAACGATCGGGCGGGGCGGAATGCCATCCCATCCCCGCAACCGTTTTACCTAAGAGGGCTGCCCTCTTTAAGCTAAAAGATTGCCCCTGCTCGACCCCGCAGAGAGAGGCCAGACCCGCGCCCGCCACCTCTCCGGGGGACCCCAAGGAGGCGAGGGGAGCTCTTTTCGCCTGCTCTTACGCTCCTGCACTGCCTCCCCCTTCATCGGGGGGCCCCCCCTTAAGCGGCCCCTTCGTTTCGGCTTTTTTTTTTGCTGTTCTGTTCCCTTCGTGGTCTTCTCGGCCTCATTTCGCCCGGCGGTCCCTTTGCCAGGTCTCCGCCCTTCCTCTTCTTTTTTCTTCACTTCTGTGCTGGCTCCTTTCCTCTTTTTCGGCCTTGTTCTTTGTCCTCGTTGCTGCTTCCTCTTCACTGCTGTGGGGCTGCTCGGCGCCCTCCTTTTCTTGAGGGCGTTGCCCTTCTCCTCCTCTTGGTCTCCTGGCTGCTTCTTCCCCTTCTTCCCTTTTCTGAGGTCTATCAGCGGCCCCTCCTTCTTCTCCTTGAGATCATACCCCGCAAAGGCAAGAGATGCTTCACAATATTCAAGCACTCCTTGTTGGACGCCTCCCGATGGCGAACCAAAGGCGGCATACTCGACCTGGCTCATGTCGCGCTGAATCTTCGCTCCAAGGTGCTCAAAATAGTCTCCCTCGGTCTCCCAAGGAATTCCCGTATATATAAGCGCCAGCGCCTGGCGACGGCACAGCCAGAATCTGGCAAAATACTGACAGCGTAATAGTCCGGCTGTTCCCCGTTCCGTGGCAGTCCAACTGCTGCTGCAATTCGGTTTGGCAATGGCTCTGGAGCAATTCGCCTGCCTCAAGGACCGATCTGACTAAGTTCAGGAGAGGCATTCAAGGAGCCTCGAAATCTCGGCCCATCGCTCGTATAAAGTCCTGTAACATCAGCAGGACTGCAGCGCAGCCCGAGCCTCTCCGTAAAGTGGGCCTCAGCGTTGAGATAGTGACGTCGGCGCTCTGCCTGAATGTGAGCACGTCGTAGCTTTGCCAGCTTGTGCGCTATCGCGTCATCCTCATCCTCAACTGTAGTCGGGCCGACATCCACACAAGTCTCAGCCTGGGCAGCTATTCTTACCCATTCCTCCAGAACTCGTTTCCTCTGGAAGGCGAGCAGACTGCTGCTACTGCGTGGGTGGAAAAGTTCCGCTATCTCCTGGGTGTCATTGAACAGAAGCGAGACAATAACTTTATTACCGCGGATCTGCAGCCCAGAGCCTTCTTCCTCGATTTCTTCAAGAGGAGGGCCCATCTCCAGAAGTTGAGACATGCCCTTCGTAGCCAGACTAATCTTCCAAAGGCTCTCGAAGTCACCCGACTGCGGGGCGGGAGTTGAATGCACCAAGCAGGAGTCTGGTGATGTAGATCTACTCGTCGGGAAAGGGGTAGCAACCTTTGGCAAAGCTCCGGCGAATGTATCTCGGACTACCTTGCGCCCTACGCCCGACGCAGCGTCGTCTTCATCCGTTGCGCCCATGTCCTCCGGGTCGGCGCCGTCAATCCTTGAAGCGGCTTGCTGATAACAGCCTGCGTCAAACGTCCGGGCCTCTCTGTCGGCTGAAGCTCTATTCGGAAAGGCCTCTCTTTCGCTCGTGCTCCCACGCCATCTCCGCAAGCAGCGCCTGTCGCAAAGGCAGCGGGAGAAGAAGTTGGCGAAAGAAAACGGCGACCCTGTCGGGATCGAAGGTTCGGACTCATGGCGCCTCCTAAGGGCATCAGCATGCTCTTGGGATACCCCTAAACGCCGATACTTGTGCCCCGACGGCATGGGTGGCGGGATCAGAAACCTCTGCAAGAAGTTAGCGAAAGAAAATGGTGACCCTGCCGGGATCGAAGGGCCGGACTCATGGCGCCTCCTAAGGGCATCAGCATGCTCTTGGGATACCCCTAAACGCCGATACTTGTGTCCCGACGGCATGGGTGGCGGGATCAGAGACCTCTGCTGAAGACGTGGCGCCGGTGGTGAAACCGTAGGAGAGCGGGGCGCAGCGGGAGCTTCAGAGGCTCTCTGGAGCGACCGGGATCTTTCGGCCAAAGTCCCGCCAGTCACGCGTCCGAACGGCGTCGCTACAGCAAGTTCTTGCTTGCCCTTCCGCTGGGATGGGTCCTGGCGCGGCGGCTTAGTTTCGGAGTGCTGCTTCGGAACTCGAGCCTTCGGGTCTCGTGTCAAACTGCTACCCCATCCTCCGAGATGTCGCACCTTGTGAGGCATCTTGTGCTTTAGGTCCCTGATCTTAGAACATCCCACGCGGGGCTTGTGCTGGTCTTCGACGTGATTCATGAGCCGTGCCTCGCGTAGTGCTTGCGAGACTCTCTCGCTTTCAGCAAAGGTCTTACCAAATGGCCACTCCTTCTCGGTAAAGGCCTGCAAAGCTTTCTTGAAAAGGTAACCCAGCTGGTTCTTGTCCACTGAGTTGAAGCGCGTGCCATTAGGCATCTTAGCGCCGTTCTCAGCCCTCCACTTTGCAATCAGATCGGCGCAGAGCCAAACTTGATCCGGCATTCCCTCGCGTCGTATCCGTATGCTACCGCGCTTTGTGCCGCACGTCGGACAATCCACATTCAGCGAAGCAGTAGGAGTAGCGTGAGCAAAACAGTGGGCGGCTGTAAGGAGGTGGAATATAACACTATATGCAGACCAAGGCCACACTCACCATCAGGGAAGCATGGGTCTGGCACAAGTGCCGGGACTACAGTTGGAGTATTGGAAGACGATTATTCTCGAAGATGCTCGAAGAGAAATCAGGCCCGAGTTTGCAAAGAGATTGTCGGACCAGATGGCGGATTTACAGCGCAAGCAGGACACCCTCGACGATGCTCTGGCGCGACTAGAGGCCCGATCCTCTAATCTGCCTGCAGCTCCGAAATTGCCTTCAGCTGATGCCAATCTACAACATCCTGGACGGAGTGGTGGTTCTGCCTCCCGAGCACCTGCTGGAGATCGCCATGTGGAAGAATTTTCCTCGGTTATTCGGGATACCGATGCGGAGCCTAGAAGGGGGATCCGGGGGCCACCTCGAAACGTCGGCTCTGGGCCGGTTGTGGACCCTTGCCAAGATCACCGACTGGGACCGGTCAACGAGGTTGAGGACTTTTCTGATTCGCCGCGTTCGCCGTTGCAGAACCACGAGCCGGACCGAAATTCAAAGACGAGTCGAGTCCACCAGCCCAACGTCTACGGTTCGATGGACTTGAATGCCGACGCCTATCCGAGCGTCGACGGTCGAGACGATCCTGGCCGCCCTTGCACATCCCTCAAGGACCTTCACACGGAGCGGAGCGTCCGAAGTGACCCTTTAGAGCACCAACCTCTATTGGAATCGACAGCAGTTGAAGGCTCAAGGAGAGTAGGCGCTTTTGCTGCTAGAGATTGTGACGACCTGTTTTCAGACGCGGTTAATTCTGGGTTTCCAGTGTGGGTAACGGGAGAAACGCAGTGCGGAGGTCTTCGTGACAACTATTCACTACCACGAGTTGACTTTCTCCGTCCCCAGAACAACGCAGAGCGGGCAAGTATTGATCTCCTGGGACAGTGTTTGACTCGCGCTACCTCTACACTGAAGGCGATGCTCAAGACTACTTCGCCAAATACTTTGATTTGTTTACACGGGGTCTTGCTTGGGGCTGCGTTCTCCGCAAGGCGAGCTACTCGCAGTGAGCGGATGAGGCACCACCTGGAGTCTCCTTCTGCGAAGTCTCTTCGACTTTGGTCAGCTGCTTGGGATCTGTTTAAACAGCAGGGAGCAAATGGCCTTTGCTGCAACGGCAGCAGCTCGATCAGCATTGAGCGCGTCTCTGTTGGTTACAAGGGTAAAGCGTCAGCGTCGCCCGCAAGTGGTGTGGAGTATTTGTCTCCGACGGTCGCGTCGCCGGCTGTATTTAGGAGCATGCGTTCACCTACTGGACCCGATGCCCTTGGTTGGCGAATTGTTAAGCCTCAGAAATCTTGTGGCCGTCTGCCTATGCTATTCCTGGGCTTACAGCGGCGCCCTTTCCGGCCCTTACAGGTGGCCCATTCGCCGCACTACAGGATGACTCTGTCTCGCCGGCCGGTCAGAGCGACACGGCGGCACCACCTGCGCAGGGTCTTGCCCCTCAGGGCACGCCGAAGGTTGAAGCGACTTCACGAGCCCCCCACTTCGGTGCTACGAGTTTACCATCGCACTATCCTCCGGGGCTGGCTCCTGAGTCGCCGCCCATGCGCCTGCTATAAATATGCGCCGGCACTTCCGCCTGGTGGCGTCCCGAGCCTAAGGCCAGGCTATGGAGAAACAGCTACTCCGTCGTCTGCGGTCTATCACCCTGCACGACCTTCGATCTCAGAGACTCGCGGACACCCGGCAGCCGCCAGCGCAAGTTCCACTCTTTCGGGGCCCGGGTCAACGGGACAACAACGAACAAGACATCCAACATTTGGGATGGGGCCGAGTGGTCCGCCAGCGGGCACTCATTTACCGGCCGACCAGTACAGAGCCGACCTGAACCGGTCTGGCGCCGGAGCTGGTGGACCCGTGACACCACCTCTACCAGCACCGAGGCCAGCCTCTACCAGGCATAGTTTGGAGCAGAATTTTTTAGCGGAAATTAGCAAAACCAACGCTAAGGAGATCGATAAGCCCGAAGCATGCCTTGCATTCCAGAGCTTTCTGATCTTTGCAGAAACATACCAGCCGAAAGGCGACGCATCGGCAGGCATGCCCACGCCTTCACCTGGCAAGTCCAAGAACGTGCGCCCTTACCGCAGAGACATGTCTTCGGTGCCGCCCATCGTGGTGGAAGAAGTCGCTGGTGGTAATCTCTCGGCCGTTTTTCCGTTGGAGCTGACTACTCCGAGCATGGTCAGCAGCCATATCTCATCACTTGTGTCTGGAACTGGGGGCACTTTCCAGGCTATGGCCCGCCGCCTTAACGGGTCTGCCACAGGTGGAGGATCTGGCGCCAAGCCGCTGGAGCGACATGCGCCACCCATAACTTGCGAAGCGGGTATGTCTCAAGTGGCAATGATGAACGAGCGCGAAGCCCTGTGGAAGTTCCTCAGAGATTTCGAATTCACGCAGACTGCTTTCAAGGCCGTCAAAATCGAGTCGAAGGTAGGAAGAGACGCGTGGGACATTGCGAATGCGGTGTCTGGCGACTTAAACAAGGCGCGCGCACTGTTCACGGAACTGGAAAAGGGCTGGAGACTGACATATCGAGGCGCCATCCGAGACATACAGTCACGGAGGAGCTTGCCGATTGGGCAACGGTTTGAGAACTCGAGGGCCAATCGCCTCCAGTGGGCTCAACAGCAGAAAAGGACACATCTCCGAGCTGGATCGCCTTCACTACCCAAATCCAGACCCGAGTAGTCGCAATGGCAGCAAAGTCTTCCACGCAATCCCTAAACCGCTTCAACAGCAGGGCACTTTCATGGAAAACATGTATAAGACCACGAAAACAGACGCAGCCATACACGGGCTCGCCTTTGATATTGAGGCGGATAGGCGTCTGCCAGAGGTCCTTGAATTCGTCATCAAGGACGCATTTGAGGGACAGCCAATAGATCCGGATAGATTCTACAAGGAACGACAGCACAGGAGCCCGCAGAGTCGCCGACCCAATGAGGAGCAAGGCGATCGTGAGGAGTTCAACAACGATTATCAGCGAGGTGATACTTTAGAAGGGCCATCCCTTTTAGGTGCGGACACTCGAAATAAACTCGACGCCGCGGGCCTGCTTTGGAGGTCCACAGAACCGAACCAGACAAAAGGAAAAGGATCAGGTGAGAACAGTAAGAAACGCGGAGGTAACCGCTCTCGACTAGACTGCGTTTTATGAATTGGCGGCGCGATGCTGTACAGTGCTGCTCGCCGTGTTGTCAGAAGACCTAAGGCGAAGAGTTCTGCGGGCTCTCCCTCGAACGTCAAAAGTAGGCGGCTCCGCTGGCTCCAGACTCGCCGGCTGCTGGCCCGAGCGAACATCACACGCGGAGGCGGAAGATGCTGGATACGCGATGCCTGAGTCCGGAGGAGCACTTGGTCGCGCATCTGTTTCCTGCGAAGTTGGCACTTCAATGTCCGTAGGATCGTCATCATCACCAAACAAGCGCTGTCCGGCTAAAGTATCCCCATGCCCCGTCTGGTGTCGGCGGGGAGGCAGACTTGTCCGTCGAAGTGCGCAAAAGGGGAGTAAGAGTCAGAGACTCATCCTCCTGCTCTTCGATAGGAGAGAGATCCGAAGCAGGAAGTTGCGGGGCGAACGGAGGCGGAGCTGCAGAGAAAAGATCAGTCCCAGGAGCGCCACGTGGGTCCGGAGACTCGAGAGCACCACTATCATGCAGGTCGGAAGGGTCGCCAGAGATGCCCAGCCTTCCGAGATCAACCGGATCTCCATCCGCTCGGCCCCCCTGTAGGGTCAGGCCCGGGGTGAATGGATTCCGTATCGGTTGACACGATGCTGCCGTCTCGTGAGTGGACTTCTTTAGATTTGTTCGTAGATTCTAATATAGCGCAAGGTAGATATACTAGAGACAATAAAGGGAGAGCGCAAATATAATATCCGCATAAATGCAAACTCGTCGCGAACGGATAGCATTCTTTAAGCAGAAACTATAATAAGTCGACAAATGAATCAGATTGACCAACATCGACCAACAAAGGGCGCAAGCCTTTACGCTGTGCCTCGAGATATCCGCTTGCCCGCCAAGGCGCCCAGATAAACTCTATTACACCAGAATGCGCGGGGTATGTGCTACACGGTCGACGGGGTGAGCTGGCTAGACTCACAACCAACGCGCGTTATGTAATACAGCGGTAAGCTTTAAGGTTTCTATAATGTAAGCACTACTATGCCAGCGCTACTCTAACTACATTAGTACCGAAATTATGGCACTAGTTGCCAGCATCGTTCTCCACCACTTGAACCAATTAAGAGCACACAGCTAAAACGTCTAGAATGATGGCAACACTACCGAGAAAGGCGCGCGTCTCACGTCTTGAAAGTGTGGCCATTTCCGGCGCAAATATTCAATAGCAACAAATGTAGCGCAAAGGCATCTCCAAAAGGTTTCTCGTCGACAAATGTCGCAAATAAATGCACTCTCGGACTGCGACGGGTCCAACCAATACACAATCGGCACAAATGAGAAGCCAAACGCTATAGGCGGATGACTTGATTACAGTCCTGAATCTTGAGAGTCTTCGCGGCAGATCGGCCGTGAGTCATGTGCGATGACAAAGAGAACAATGCTTACGAAAGACAGGCCAGCTTGCCTTGAGTTATGTAAGTATGTAAATACGCAGTCACTTATCTTAAATGACCAGTCCAATACCCTTCTACTCACATAGCGCAAGATCCGTAGGCATCTCTCATTTGTGTGCTCAGTCTTCTCCGAAAGATGTTAAATGAGTCAAGTGTCGACCTTTGCGCCGTGTTAACTTGTCGAGCGAATAAGTGAGAGATCAAACGCGATCTCCCTATGTGATCAGCCGGACGCTACTTAGTGGAACGGTCTCGAGCCTCCTTCTGTTCGATAAGATAGCAACTATTTGCATTGCTTTTCAATAGGTCCTTCTCAATAAAGATCCGGAACTTCTGTTGCAGATCTTGAAGCGTTTTTGCTTTTGAAGTGCTCTCTTGCACCTTTTTGGAGTGGGGTGATCTTCTCGCTCTCTCCTGAGCTATCTAGTCTGGCAGATAGTCACTCTACGATCTCTAGGGCGATCTCTAGATGCCGAGTAGTCGCCTTGTGCTGTAGATGGTTCTACCGCGCGGCGAAAAAGAGGCTGATCTAGTCGCGATTCTAGACTATGATCTAGGTGCGATCTGTCGTAGATCTAGATATGTCTCTGGTACGTGTTTGGTCTAGCCTTATCACGCCGCAAGATTCATTAGTTCTCGAAATATATGACGAAATCATACCTATTTCGAGCGAAGTGAAAAGATTTGATTACTTATGGTCGTCAGTATGTTGGCAATGTGATTCGCGAATTAGTCGTCTCTATTAAGTCGCGGACTGCCTATATTCGACTGTAGTTCGGCCGGAGAGTCTGGGCCGTGAGAAAGGATTATTGCCAAGCAGTAGTCTGCTAACGACTACGCAACGCTTGGAGCACTACCAGTGAATATATTGTCTCAAGGCGGATGACTTGGCTACAACCTGAAATCTTGAAAAGTCTGGACCAATGCGAAAAGTGACGAGGATAAAATGCGTAGTCCTGTATGTGTGCTTATGGATTGTGGCTGGGCACTCCAATACACAACCAACCAAATGCGAGGCCAAACGATTCAAACAGATGCGGCGCCAAATGATTCAAACAAATGCGAAAGCTCAAACAGATGCGAAGCCAAATGGTTCAAACAAATGCGAAGCCAAATGGTCAAACAAATGCGAAGTCAAGCGCACTTATCACTTATGGACTGCGACTGGGTACTTCCAATACACAATCGACCTGCGAAGTCAAACGCAAACGCTATCCGCGGACGACTGCGCGACATTTCCTGTCTCCGTCCGTCTTGATCAATGCGAGGAAGTCTCGGGCAAGTGCTTACTTAATGACGAGGATAAAATAGGTTGCCCTTTATCTTAAAAGACCCGCCCAGTATCCTTCTACTCACATAGCGCACGACCCGACGGCATATCTCATCCGTGTGCTCAGTCCTCTCCGAAAGATATTAAATGAGTCAAGTGTCGATCTTTGAGCCATGACATCCCATCGAGCGAGTAGGTGAGAGATCAGACCCAGTTTCCTTGTAAGATCAGACGAATGCTACTTAGTGGAGCGATCTCGGGCCTCCTTTTGTTCGATAAGATAGCAACTATTTTGCTATTATTTCGATAGGTCTTTCTCAATAAAAGTCTGGAACTCCTGTTACAGATCTGGAAGTTTTTATATTTTGGCACCGTTTGGATTCTGGCACCATTTGGAATGGGCTGGCCTTTTGCTCTCTCCTGAGCTCTCTAGCCTGGTAGATACTCACACACTCGACGATCTCTAAGGCGGCCTCTAGATGCCGAGTAATCGCCCCAGGCTGTAGACTAGATGGCCCTACAGTTCGGCGAGGGCGAGGCTGATCTAGTCACGATTCTAGAATACGACCTGAATACGATCTGGCCTGGATCTAGATCTGTCCCTTGTACGAATATGACTAGCCTCTGTTTTCACAGAGTAAAACTAGTTAGAACCTTGCGTAGGCTAAGATAATTTACGCACCAACGGGCGGGGGGTGCGGAAATTTAGTAGTCATGAGCTGCGAAGGTTTGACTTGAGTTGCATAGGTGATAAAGTCTAATGATAAAATCATGAATGTTGCGTCCTAAATTCACGACTATGCGTCAGTATGTTGGCAGGCCCCTCCTGTAATTTGCGAACTGGTCACCCTACTAAGTCGCGAACTGCCTACATTTCGACTGTAGTTCGACCGGAGAGCTTGAGCCGCGAGGCAGGGAGTCTTATCAAGCAGCAACCTGCTAGAGGCTATGCTTGGAGAACTGCCAGCGAATATAAAGTCTCACGATGATGATGATGATGGTGACGCGCGTCGTTTGATTGAGCATGATTGGGCGAGCAATCAAGGGAGCGGCCACAGGCTCACGCGAAAGACTCTGCTCCAAATCAATGAGAACCGGCAGAACTATGCATTGAGCGCGGTGCGGAGCAGTCGCGGCGAACAGAATGGCAACGCCTAACCACAGCCGCCACACGGTGGGACCTGGTCAGCAAATGAAACACAGAAAGAGCGGGGCGGGCTCAATGCGTGAACCCTCTCAAACAGCGGAACCGAACAACAGGACCGAACTAATTCAAACCAACCACGCAACACTCAAACAAAGAGCCGACCGACATCACCAAACCGACCAGCCTCCTGCTTCGCTTAGCGCGTGTCGCTCTCTCCTCTCTTTCTTGCTTTCTGTTGAAGTGTCCCGCCTGTCGCTCGTCTCTCTCTCCAGCCACTCGCTTCAACCGATACGCACAAGACCGACAACACCAGGGCGCAACGAGTGGAGAATAACAACAGAGCACACAAGACAAGCCCAGACAGAGCCCGAGCATGCGGCGAAGTTTGGCACCCGCGGCCGCTACGATTGTAGCAGAAGCCCATACCCCCGCGGGGGTTTTCACTTCGTCACTATCTCCTTGCCTGTCGTTTTCGTTCGGGGTAGAGATGTGGGGGATTGCGCTGCCCTGGTTCCAAGTTTCTACTTTGGTGCCACTCAAGACAGAGCCACTGCCAGCAATCCGTCAGACTTCAAGCGACATGATGTATAGTCTCAGTGTGCAGCATTTAAATGCACGCAGCCAGGCCGCCAGGCTTCTAAAGGTGGGCCCCATGGCCTTCCATCCTCTTTCAGGGTGTGCACGTGATTGCTTTCCCCGGGCACCGCAGTCACACCCGTAACGTCTATCCGCAAGCCGTTGGCCATTTAGTGCAAAGGCCTTAGGTAAAAAACTCGAACCGCCAGCGACAGAGATCAGGCGCCTTCTGTACTCAATGAATGCCATGCGAGAACTCTGCCTAAGGCTACAGGGTCGAAACGATTGGGCGACGCCGCTGCCCTCTTATAAATGCCGCGAGTGGGCGACCAGGCTGCCCTTCTAAGTTCGTGAGTGGGCGATGGAGCTGCCCCCTAGGTTGCATAAAATGGCGAAACGTCACGAGCGATGTTATTAAGTCAAAAGAAACGGGCACTATCTGACTACCCTCCTAATAAAACACCACACGCGACAGAAGCAAGTAAACTCCTGGACTCCATCGCTATACTTGCGCGCACAGCTTTCCATAGTGTCGCTATCAAAATCCAAGACGCGAGCTACTCTGTGCAAAACGATGGGCAGAGTCCTTTTTTTTGAAGAGAGAAGACCGGCCCTGATCTATTTCGTTGGATGTGACACGTGAAGGCATACACAGACCCACCGGCTGAGGCGAAACGCTAAGGAGGTCACAAAGATCGAAGCGAGTAACAGAAGTAAGCAATGTAGTGCGGTCAACGGTCCAAGTCAAGTGCTGGCATCATATCTCGCAACTGCAAATCATTCATAACTTCAAATCTCTGAAAATGGGAGCTACTTACTCAGTCAGGGCGTCAAGATAAGAATAAACACAACCAAAATGGTGCAGGATGTTCGTCCCTATCGCGTTACGCTCTAAAATTCTGCAGATGATGGCGGTGGCGATGATGGTGGTGGTGCTGATGATGATGATGATAATGATGACGATGATGATGGTGGGCGGCCTTTCGTTCCCGTACCACCATCAGGATACGAACAACAAGAAAACGCACGCTATTTAGGTTGTGGATGTTACTAAGTCCGCCGCAAAAGCCAAAAATGTGCCTTAGGGCCCCTTACGGGACCGGGAGCATCCCTTGCATTCGTTTTAGGCTGATCGTAGGCACCTTCCTGAAGGCCGCCCGACCTCTTCAGCCGAATCATTCAAGGACCCCAAGAGCCTGGCGCATCAGGGTTAGCCATCGCCAGCCTGCTACCTTAGCTATGCATAGCGTAGCCAGCTTACCTTGCTAGCTCAGCCGTAGCCAGCTTGCTTTGCTAGCTTAGCCATGTCCCCCCCCTGCCTTGCTCGATTGCCTTAGCCGTAGCCGGCTTGCCCTGCTCTGCTGTGTATCGCTTAGCCCTGGCCAGCTTGCCTCGCTACCTTAGCCATCGCGATGCGATAGCCAGCTTCCCTCGCTAGCTTCGCCCTGGCTGGCTTGCTTGCTCAACCATAGCCAAAGCCAAGCGGCTAGCTTAGCCGTAGCCACCTTGCTACTTAGCTTAATGACCGTGGCCAGCTTAGCCATCGCCAGCCCGCTGGCTTAGCCATCAGCCTCACGAGCTTGCTGGCTTTGCCGTCGTCAGTCTGCTAGCTTAGCCTAGGCCGCAGCGCCTTGCTAGCCCAGCGCGCTAGCGTAGCCACGGTGACTGCAGGCATAGTATTAAAAGAGGAGTACTCATTTACATAGATCTAGATGCACTATGTGCCTCAAGCATTGTCTCCTGCAAGAGCTGGCCGCTGTCCGCCTTCGCTTTTCTCGTAGATCACCAGCTGTGAAGCCGCGTCCACGAGCAGAGTAGGTGTTTCCTTTCCATCATCTCCAGCTTGTTGAACTGCTTTGTTGTCGTCGAGGAGATAGGGATGCAAGAACCATCTTTAGAGGTAGAGCCTACTGTACTTCGAGTTGTATTCTGATTCCCTACAAGTAAGTACTTGAGAACGGCGGGCCACGCTTGACTTTTGACGCAGTTCATGCCTCGTTCTGCAAATTCATTCCAGGCATCACGTCGCTGTCGCTCGCGCCTTTTTCATAATTGCACCCCATTCATCAGCCTAGTAGTTAACGTCCGTAATCTAGTAGCATGTGGAAAATGTAAATGGGTGATGAAATAAGACGAAGGGGATACTAGTATCTAGATTACAAGCAAGTCTCCCACTCCCTAAAATCCTTAGGAGCATTCCTCAAGGGGCTCCCTTGAAGAAATGGCATCCCTTCAGGAAGCTCTATGATTATCATAAATGATAAAAAGTCACTATAAGTCTTCCTTAAAGGCCAAAAATGTGCCTCAGGGCCCCTTAAGGGGGCCTCCCTTGCAGTAGTTTTCGATTTCGGCTAGTCATGGGCACCTTCCTGAAGTCCGCCCGACCTCTTCAGCCGAATCATTCACGGACCTCAAGAGCCTGGCGCATCAGGGTCAGCCATCGCCAGCCTGCTACCTTAGCTATGCATAGCGTAGCCAGCTTCCCTTGCTAGCTCAGCCGTAGCCAGCTTGCTTTGCTAGCTTAGCCATATCCCCCCCTGCCTTGCTCGATTGCCTTAGCCGTAACCGGCTTGCCCTGCTCTGCTGTGTATCGCTTACTAGCCCTGGCCAGCTTGCCTTCCTACCTTAGCCATCGCGATGCGATAGCCAGCTTCCCTCGCTAGCTTCGCCCTGGCTGGCTTGCTTGCTCCTCCATAGCCAAAGCCAAGCGGCTAGCTTAGCCATAGTCACCCTGCTAGCTTAGTGACCGTGGCCAGCTTGCCAGCTTAGCCACCGCCAGCCCGCTGGCTTAGCCATCAGCCTGACGAGCTTGCTGGCCTTGCCGTCGTCAGTCTCCTAGCTTACCCGAGGCCGCAGCGCCTTGCTAGCCCAGCGCGCTAGCGTAGCCATAGCGGTAGCCAGCTTACTAGCCTAGCGACAGCGGCAGCCAGCTTGCCAGTCTTTCTGTCTAGGCCTGGCGACCGGACTTCGCGGCGGACTTAATAGCGGCTTCACCCGATCGTCTTACCCGGCTAGCTGCTAGCGCTAACATATGGGCATGTTTAAATATAAAAACTATCGCGGTGACCCCTGAAGAAGAAGATGAGGGACTCTACGTGTACGCATCGAGGGATTACCACAGTGCTGGCGGGATGTTGCTGCCGAGTGTATTGTAAGAGTTGACTCTGACTTCTAGTTTGATATTAGCCCGACATCGACGAGTGCAGCTTAAGTGCAAATGCATATACATGCGCGAGCCCCTGTTGTCAACTTTCCTGATGGCCGTCGACGAGATAAGCGCAGACACACACTAACCTTTTAATATCCGTGGCCTTAACATTGCTCTTCCCCGGCAAAGGCAAAGATCGGGAAGTTGTACGTAGCGTAAGGGCCTGCCTTCGCGCTCGTCTCTTCATCTGCTTAGAGCAGAGTTTGCGTTTAGGCTTTCAGCTGTAACGATATTCGTCTACTGGTGCATAGAGCGCCTGCATCGACATCGGGGGCAGGATAATTTAATATGGTCAATAGTTAGCCATACGCATAGACATACCACGACCTATGTTGAAAAACACACAGAAGAACACAAAAGCAAGAAGAATGCCTTTCATTTTGATTTTCTATGAGCGTCTGTATTGATATAGTGAGCGACTCTATTCAGGAAAAGATAACCGACCAAGACCTTTAAGGCATGGAGTGAGTGTTTCCATGTGTTCTGGTGCCGTCTTTCGTGAGGAGCCTCAAGTGACTACTTACTCCACCCCTATCCAATCGGTCACTTCCTAGAAGTGGGCTATAAAGGGGAACGCAGAAGATGAATCTATTGAGCGCAGCCCTTTACGGTGCTTCTATTGTTCATGTCCACGGCGATAGACTGAGCAGGAGCTACCCTTGATAGATTTCCCGACAAACTGCAATAAGCAAGTAACTCACTGGAATAAGCGAGATACTGAAAGAAGGCAGAGAAGCCGAAGCCTTATAAAGATACGCCCCTTAGTTAGTATTTCAGTCAGTAACTCAGTTATTTAATTCCAGGTCCGAATTATATTTCTTCATTATACTGGCCTTAGTCGATCATTTTGGCTTGCACCTTCAGGAGATGTTCCAGCGTGCGTTCCAGTTGCGACAGGTACTTTTTGACGGGGAGGCTACCCCCGGCGTAGACCTGCGCACCACCAGACCTGATTAGAAGAGAGCAGATATGTACCAGGGAGGGAGGCCCCCCCTGTGGATGGATCGGGGGTGGACCACGCCAGAGGGGTCCAGCCTTGCCACCTTATTGGCCAGGCCTGGCGAGGGGCTACCGGGCGGGAAGGCCTCAAAGCGCCCACTTCTGACCCCTTCCCGCTTCTTGCCTGTACCCTACAGACCTGGCAAAGGTGGCAAAGGCTGGGCCCTCTTGTCGTGTTGCGTGTACCCGACAGAGCTGGCAGACGAGGCAAGGCAGGAACCCACCCCCTTTGCGTAGGGTTGGGCACATGCAACACGCCAGAGGGGGTGGGTCCCGCCTTGCCTCCTCTGCCAGCTCTGTCGGGTACACGCAACACGACAAGAGAGCCCAGCCTTTGCCACATTTGCCAGGTCTGTAGGGTACACGCAAGAAGCGGGAAGGGGTCAGAAGTGGGCGCTTTGAGGCCTTCCCGCCCGGAAGCCCCTCGAAAAGAGGGGCCGGGGCGGGGAGGCCCCCCCCTCAAAAAGTTAGATTGGGGGGGGCCTCCCGCCCTGAGCCCTGGAACATATATCCCAACTTTATATTTATTGATAGTAGATCATAAGAAGTATTAAGATTAAGGCACACTTTGCATCTAGAAGAAGCAAGGCGCTTCTCAGTAGTTGCGTCTTGCTTTCTCGTCTGATCTTTCGACGTTGGTGCATCTTGAGGAAGTAGTAGACTATGTCTGACTTTGACCCCGTGACGACTTCCCCCGAGTAGCATAGCGTAACTATGTCGAAGCCGGGCGCTCGCGGCTGTTACTCCGGCGGAATTTGGCAGAAAAATCGCAAAGCCGTGCCCGACTCTGTGCAAAAGCCTCAACCTGAGGCAGCTTCTGCCCTCGCGGCTATCTCACTCCCATCGCCTTCAGAAGGTAGATCGATCCCAACACTTTTCCCAAGTCCCACCTTCGTCGCCTCCGACCACCCTCCCGACCCACAGGAAAACACACTTGCCAAACACAACACTGAAAAGCTGACACCCTCGCGAGCCAAACCCCCTCAATACGGCGAAGCAACACACTGGCACACCCCAGCCCATTGGCTTCGCCACCCGTCGACAAGCCCGCAGCCGAGCTGGATGCCCTACCCCAGTCTCGAAATTTCTAAGCAATGCCCTGTCACCTATTTCCCTAGTCCCTTCCCCCTTGATCCCGTGTGCCCGACACCCTCCCCGAAGTTTTGCCCTTTCTTTGCCCCACCACTTGCGGAAGCTTGCCCCAAGGCCTACGCCCAAGCTGTGCCCCTCCCTCGCTCAATGCTAGCGAAAGAAATGACCACACGGACGCAAACGCAACAGCACAAGGAGGTGGATTCTCAGAAGAGGAGCCAGCGCCCCAAAGTGAACGCATGGCCTGCCGCTTATTGTTGGGGCGTGGTCTTGTGTTATTCTTGAACGGTTAGAGAGCTCAGCTCTTAGATAGTGCACTCATTCACCAGGTAAATGGCAAAGCTTTCCCGCATTGAAATGCTTGAGGGTGTGGAGGTTCTCGGCGTGGTTCTTTGAAGTGGCTTCCATCGCTAGGCCTGATTTCAAGACTATGCGCCAGCCCTTTGATCTGATGGGATGTCTTTTATCAGTGTCGACATTTTAGGCAAGTGGAGCTCCGTTCAGTGATTGGATTGGGCATGCGCGACTACATGGAAGAACGAACACTATGCCAAAAACGACATTAGAAAAGGGGCCTTTTAGCCAAAGAACGCACATAGAGCCCAGGGACCCGCTCGGCAGTATTCGCCTCAGTTCTGAGTTGCGCTTTTTGTACCTTATTCGCCTCAGAGTGGGAGCTTTTCACTTTGGGTCGAATACTGCCCAGCCGATCCCTGGGCTTTGTGTGCGTTTTTTGGCTAAAAAACAACTTTTCGGCGTTCACCCTTGGCACAGTGTTCCTATATACACGACCAAGAGATTCGTAATAACATCAGAAGGCAACCGAACTCATTGAAGAGCGGAGACGTAGTGACTTACTTTAAGAATAAGAGGACGAAGCCAATGACAAGAAAGACCATAATAACTACCGCGATAGCTAGTTAATATCGTAGGAGACTGGAGGAGAGGTTTTTGCTCAACCAGGCAAATCCGTGAAGGCTCGAGGCCAGACGCGCGACGCTGCGCGCTTTCATAATGCACATAGTCCCGGGTCTGTCGAGCTTCGACCAGTCCGCCTTAAGTCTATCGCTCCGCACTTATCAGCCGCGGCAAGTGAGTCAGTTACTTCAAGTGTGACAAGTCTAGTCGTGTAGCTTGTGAACCTGCGCCGTGTTATCGTGGGAACTGGCTAGGAGCTTCCACCCCGTCGCCATTCCCTGTCGCCGAGGGCTACGCCCCCAGCTGCCGCCTGTCCGCCGTTTGCTGGCGCTGCTGCTCTCAGTCTCGCGGATTGGGTGCCCTGTGCTTTTTCTCCCAATTGCTGCGCAAACATAAAGGCAAAATGCTTGGAACCGCCACGGGCTGAGCTTTCCCTCCGCAGCCGCAGCGCTAAGACCTGAAGCGAGAAGGCGGATCGAGCATAAGACGGGGCCGGCGCTGAGTCAGACAGCAAAAACCTAGCTGCCAGGCATGGCAATCGAATGAGTTCAGAAGTTGCCTGCGCTGTCTGTGTCTGTGGATACAGATTGGGAGTGAAAGACTGCAAGGAAGATAATCGCCACGAGTCACACGAACGGCCGAAGCGGTTCGCAGTTGTTAGTGACTGTCTCGATAAAACAGAACAACAGACGCAGCATTCTCCAGGCCCTGAACGATCAGGCGCGTGGCTGCTTGATAGTGCTCCACCCAGATATGTTTCCCGAAGCGTTCGATCTGCTGCAAAACCTCCTAACACATGCCGGCGCCCTCTGCGTCAGTCAAGGCCGTAGCCATCGCACTAGCAGGCTCACGCTCTGCAGTATCGCCCTGCCCCGCCTTGGTCACGTTTCCACATGCAGCGCAAGCACTCGCAAAAGCCTTGACGCCAAGCAAGAGCTTCAGGGCGTCAGTGATCGAGGGAGACAACTGCAAACCAGTCAAGGCACGAAGATCGTCAGCCGGAAGCGTGTCGCGCTTCACCTTGGCAGGCGCGCAGAGCATCTCGAGGCTGTCCTGCGCCTCTTTCTCAGATGCTTGCCGTAAAGCAGTCCCAAGGGCTTTTCCGAAGCGCGGCAGGCTATTCAGCTCCTTGCCGCTCAGCTTGATAACAGCATCGAAGTGGTGGGGGTTGATATCTACACAGATCCTCTGGCGTGGCTTCATCGTTTTCGTCCACTTACTCTCCAGACCAGTGTGGCCGTTCTCCCTCTTGCAGAGCTTGAAGGCCTTGCGTAGATCACTATCGGTCTTCATCTGGTAGAGTGTTGGCTGTTGGCATGACTTGACACGAAAGACAACACAACGCGCATAGAGTGGCTGACTTATTGCACCAAGGAAAGGAATGAAAAGAAGACGACGAACGCCAACTCATGCCCGACACAGTCTACATTTGCAAGCAACACCTAAACAAAAAGCAAGAAAAGACCACACCCACCGACTGAAAACCACACACAGAGCAAATTCAAACGAGGGCAGTGCCATCGCTTTCAGATCTTGGCTCGTGGTTTCATCAGCGTAGAACTTTCCCGCAGCACCCCAAGACTGTGCAAACTGCAAAGAAAACGCCGGGGGTCTGCTTCACGAACTCCCCGCGCAAGCCAATCAGCTCCAGACCGCAACCCTCGAGCGATGAGCTGAGATGAGCAGCGTCAAGAGGCTCCCAGGCTTCGCCTTTCATCTCAGGCGCAATCTGGTCCGCCAATTTCTGGCGAGCGGGCTGGCCTCAAGATGAACCGCGATAGGGCTCACTTACGGAGGTGAAAAGGATGGAAACCTTTGCAGCAGCCTCCCTAGCGAATATCAACAAACAACACGCGGATCAAGCAAATCGCCAAGCTCTAGTCTCACAAAAACAACAGAAAAACACCAAAACAGTTGCTATATATGGGCAGAGAATCACCACAGCAAAGGAATTTCTCCCGAAGCTAGTCCATTTCATGCAACTGAATTGCCAAAACGACGCCCGGACTGGGCATCTAGTCGCTGGCCCTTCAAGTGTGCGCCAGGCTGGCCGGACATTGCCGCGCGGCGATAGAGCTCAGCTTAGCTAAATAAGCTCGACAAGACTCGACCAAAGAGCAACAAACTTCCCAGATCACCACTAACCTAAGAAAGCTACCCGGTGGGCGATCGCGTAAGCGTAGCATAGTCCGCCCCTGTTAGTTTTGGGCTCTTTGGCGTTGCGGCTCGTCTCGGTGTTTTGGATCCATTCGCCGCGCATATCCTTATCCAGATTGCGACCGACGAGACTTAGAGACGGACCGCGCGCGAGATACCCCGCGGCTGCTTGCTGCGGTCATTCCATCCGACAAGCTTTCACACCTGCAGACGATAGTAAGAGAAGGCGGCCCATCAATCCGAAGAAATCGATCGAACGAAAGAACTTCACGCAGGTGCACCAGTGCAGCGATGGCCCTACAAGGTTAGCGCATGCGCCTACGCTATCCCTGGAGCCTTTCCTAGCAGCACAAACAGCCTAAAAGGTGATAGAACTCCACTAAAGCTCAATAGGTGCACAACTAAGGGAGGCACCGATAGGAGACAAAGTCTAAAAGTGTCAACAGTGCCAAAGCTGCGCGGCTTGCGTCGCTTTGAGCTCTCCGCCTTCTGTCTTGCGCTGAGTCCAAGCCATTTGCCAAGACTCCCCGGCAATGCGCTCCAGTTTGGCCTTGTATTCATCCGCTTGGCCCCAGCGATCTGCGACCGGCTGCCAATAACGCAAGGCATTTCCAGCGTCACAGCTGTAACGATTCCGACTGCTTTCTGCTCCAGCTTAACCGGTGCGGAGTAGATAAAGCCCGACGAGCTTCAGCGTAATCCATTGCAAGACCTAGACCAATCACCGTCAGCCTCTAAATCAAAACGGGCGGCGGCCTACTGTTATCACCTAGCTCTAGACGAGATCCTGCAAGAGAGAAAATTATAGGGGAGGCTTAGCAGCGACGCCAAGCGAAAAGTCGAAAGAATGCCACGAGCTTCATCCGATTCCCGGCGGACATCATCACAAGAGAGCAGCGCGCCGCGAGCTTCATAGTCGTCAACGCGTTGAGTTCTGCTCCTTGCGTTTGCTCAGTCTCAGTGGCTCGCAATCCGTCTCCAGCACCACACGCGCAGCCTCCGGGGTGACAAAGTCCGCACCATCTCCATCAGCCGCCACGCGGATGCGACCCAGTGCCCGACCCTTGTCGTGTTGATTTGTGCGGGGCATCTGCGTCACCATCGACAAAGCCTCAGGGGTCTGCGAGAGTAAGTATGGCTTGAGAGTTCCTTCTACCATAGCGGCCCGATTTTCTGACCCGATTGAATTCGTCCCATCATCCTACTGAATGTCAGCACGTTGCACCCTATCACCCTGCGGGAGATAGCTTCGCCGAGACTGAAGCCAATAGAGCCACGAAAAGCATCAAAAAAGCACACCGAGGCGCGCCCGCCCGCCCCCCAAATGGCCTCCGCCATATTATCGCAAGCAGGCTGGCGCTGCAGCTGGCGCTTCGTCTGATCTTTCCGCCAGCAGTAGACTTTGCGGCTGGCATTTTGTTCGCCTCGTGAGAGCGTGGGAAGAATGCGAACGAAAGAGCCAAACCAATAAGGTCAGCCCCTGCTGTACGTGGCCGAGTTTAGGCAAATCAATACAGTGAAAGGATAGCAAATAGATGGAAAGCGATGGAGGCTGTTTTGGGATATTGCTAACTTTGCCGCTCATCGCCGACGCTTAAAAACGACCACGACCGCGACTCACATACTTCAGACAGCCAGTCATAAAAACGCCCACGGTCTGCCCCCTCTAGCGCGGCCCTTTTGATCAGTTTCCAGCGAGGTCGACTCCCATACTTTCCAAACGATGGCCGCCCCCTGAGACTCTCCAGAGGCAAGCGGAGACGCCTACTACGAACGAGACCGACAACCAAGCGAACGGCCGACGATCTACGTGAAAGATGGCCAAGAACCACCAGGCCCAGTCCGCTCCCCCTTTGCACAAGTTCCATAGGCAGCTCCATTAGACAGAGGACACCTCTAGAAGCCGCGAAGTTTATACTTACACCCGTAAGAAGGTGCTAAGCCTCCCTTGGTCAAAAAAGTCGACGAAATTCAACGAACAGCCCAGCGCGTCCCTATGTATACTCGGAGACACTACATAAGCCACAGATAGCCAGCACTAAGATCCTGACTGCTACGCAATTACTCACATGCCGGAGGCTCCACATGCGTAAGCCTTGAGGCTTCTAACCTTTTTACTTTCAAGAGTTGACTTTTTGACTTTTAAACCTTGGGGCGGGTCGCTCTCTTTTCTTAAGAAAATCCAAACCCTTACTTTCGCATACCCTCGGCGAATCACGACTCGGCTGCCGGGACGCAACGTAGACGACAACGAAAAGCCTAACCCTGTTGCGTAATTATCGTAGCGCGCTAGTCGCAGGGCGCCGACCTGTGAATACTGAAGAGAGACGGCTCGAGAGATTCGCTAAGAAGTGGGGCCTACTGCTACCATCAATCACCGTAAGAGCCTGCCCCACCCGAGACCCCCCATCTTATTCCGCCCCGAAGTAGTTGGCGGCTCTACTTGAGAGATAAGAGCTCGTCGCAGTTTGGCGCTGCCGCAAGCTCCTCCAACACCCCAACGCACTCACCCGAAAGCCCCATAGCGTTCATAGCTTCACTGCATTCAAAGAAAGCCTGGAACTCCGTGCACTTCTTTGCAGTGACGCCCATACTTGAGGCGCATACATGAAGGTGCTGACAAATGAGGCGTGTACTATTTTGCTAGATCTGCCAACGTGACAGACTAGCCCACTAGCGGCATCCAATCGCTTTGAACCATGAATGACGAATGAATCGTGAGAATAAGAAAAGCCAGGCGCCAACGGGTGCGCGATTGAAACCGCAGGTGGGCGAGTGTGCCATGAAAACAAAGGAGAGGGTGGGAGGGAAAGAAAAAGAAAGAGTAGAGTGCTTGAGTATGTGAATACAATTCGAGTACGAATAAGAATACTGAGTACGAGTACGAATGAATATGAGTACGAATAGAATACGAATACCGCATGTAATGGCCAATCACATACGCTGCGTGTAGGATGCGCAGCCCCCAAGAATACGAGTAGGAGGATGAGTACGAGGATGAGAAGAAAGAGGATGCCGATAGTCAGCAAAAGGTAGCACGCACCCCAATTAGATTATGTCGAACACCTTCGCTATTCTTGCATAACAATAATTGAGGCGCATACATGAAGGCGCTGACAAATGAGGTGTGTACTATTTTGCTAGATCTGCCAACATGACAGACTAGCCCACTAGCGGTATCCAATCGCTTTGAACCATGAATGACGAATGAATCGTGAGAATAAGAAAAGCCAGAATAGGCAAAATAATGCTCAACGCCCCGAGGGCAATTGGTAAAATACGACACGAATGTGCAACTTCTCGCAATCTCTGACAAACTGGCCGAGTGCCAGTGCGTAGTCGATGACTTTCCCTCCACAACGGCCAACGCCTATCTCTAGCGGGACCGCTGCGGAGGAGATATTCGCTCTTGCCAGGTGCAGTGGTATTTGCTGCATACAAGAAGAAAAATGGTTAAGCCGAGACTCTGCTGCATCGACGATGTGCGAGTGAGGACGAAAATATGGCGGACCCTTGTAGTACATGGAGTATATATTGATTATCCTGCCTCTGTGCTCGAACGAACCAAACGGTTTCGCAGCAAGCGTGAGGGTGACTACGGAAAATATCTTTGGCTACGCCGATGGGATCGGTAGGGACGCAGCAGCAGACGTGTAAAATAACATCTTGCTCTGCAGCTGAAATGTCACCTAGAGCCACTTTGTCTCGAAGATTGGCGGAGACTCTAAATCTCGCACTGCGGAGCAATAATTCCATCTGTGGCAGCAAGTGGTGTGAAGGCCTATACTCATGGCCCCACTCGTCGGACGACACAGAAGAGAAGACGATGTAGGACGTGTCCGAAGGAATATCGCGCTTGCCATCCCCCAGCCGGAACATCTGCGATCCTTCGCGGAAGGTAGGTCCTCGCACTAGTTGAGAGCACAACGGAAGAAACTGGCTGCTCAGCACTGGAACTAAAACTGCGAATCTGGGACGCCTGGTGGTCGGTACGTTGGTAACGAGTTTGGCCAGGAACTTGAGCACAGGGTATATTAGGGTGGTAGGGGGAAACCGCCACGCTTTGGGATCTAGAAGGTGCTGCACGTTGTGGAACGGGGATTCTTTTTGTGTGAAGGAAAACTGCAACTGCGGCAACGAATGGTGCTCATCGGACGACATCGCTACTGTGTCTATTCCAGGGAAGGATTGATTGACAATGTTCCAACACCTCGGCGAAAGAAACCGCTCGGGCATGTCATCCTTCATCGATGAAACAATATCGCCAAAGCGAGAGAGTGCGTCCGCGACTGGATTCTCGGCGCCGTAAACTTTGGAAGCAACCAACTCGCAACAGTTTTGTGAGACTATATATTCACTGGTAGTTCTCCAAGCATAGTCTTTAGCAGACTATTGTTTGGAATCGTCCCTCAAGGCCCAGACGCTCCGGCCGAACTACAGCGGAATATAGGTAATCCACGACTAATCTAATCTATCTTGATAGAGACAATCATAAATAATCAAAATTCTTTCATTTTACTCGAAATAGGTATGATTTCATCATATATTTCGAGACCTAATTAATCTTACGGCGTGATAAGGCCACATCAAGCACGTACGAGAGACATATCTAGATCTAAGACAGACCACATCAAGACCACACTCTAGAGGAGATCGCCCTAGAGATCAGAGAGCGCAGATCTGCTCGACTAGATAGCTCAGGAGAGAGCGAAAGGATCGCCCCATTCCAAAAGGGTGAAAAAGAGCACTACATAAACAAAATGCTTTCAGGATCTGAAACAGAAGCTCCAGATCTTTACTGAAGAAGGACCTATTGAAAAAAAAGCAATACAAATAGTCGCCATCTTATCGAACAAAGGAGGTTCGAGATCGCTCCATTAAGTAGCATTCGTTTGATCGCATATGGAAATCGCGTTTGATCTCTCACCTATTCGCTCGACAAGTTAACATGATTCAAAGACCGATATTTGATTTTGACTCATTTAATCTCTTTCGGATAAGATGGAGCACACGAGTGAAGAGATGCACTTGGATCCTACGCTATGTGAGTAGAAGAGTGGCGGAGTGGTCATTTAAGATAAGTGGCCTCATGTTTACACAATTATATAAATCAAGGGCAAATTGGCCGTCTTTCACAAGCATTGTCTTCTTTGTCAAGCGCACATGATTCACGGCCGATTTGCCACAAAGACTCTCAAGATTCAGGATTGTACTCAAGGTCATCCGCATATAGCGTCTGACTTCTCGTTTGTGTTGATTGTGTATTGGTCAGACCAGCCACAGCACGAAAGTGCACTTATTTGCGACATTTGTCGACGAGAAACCTTTAGAGATGCCTTCGCGCTACATTTGTCACCATCGAATATTTGTACCGGAATTATCCATATTTTAAAAGACGCGAGATGCACGCCTTTCTAGGTAGTGTTGCCACTAGGGACACGTCCCCACTTTAGATGTTTTAACTGTGTGCTCTTAATTGGTTCAAGTGGTGGAGAACGATGCTGGCAACTAGTGCCATAATTTGGGTACTAATGTAGTTATAGTAGCGCTGGCATAGTGGTGCTTACATTATAGAAACCCTAAAACTTACCGTTGTATTACATAACGCGCGTTGGTTGTGAGTCTAGCCAGCTCACCCCGTCGACCGTGTAATACATACCCTGTGCATTCTGGTGTAATAGAGTTTATCCGGGCGTCTTGGCGGACAAGCGGATATCTCGAGGCACAGCATAGAGGCTTGCGCCCTTTGTTGATTTATATTTATCAATCTGGTTTATTTCTGACTTATTTGCCGGCTTATAGTTTCTGCTTAAGAATACTATCTGCCACGCCAGGTTTGCATTTATACGAATATTTGCATCCTCACTTTATTGTCTCTAGTATATCTACTTTGCGTTATATTAGAGCCTATAGATAGACCTAAAAGAATGCCCACTCACGAGACGACAACATCGGGCCGGCCGATACGGAACCCATTCACCCCGAGCCTGACCTTACAGGGGGCCCGAGTTGATGAAAGTCCGGCTGATCTCGAAGGGCTGGGTATCTCCGATGACCCTTCCGGCTTGCAGGATAGCGGACTTTTCGAGTCTCCGAACCCGCGTGGCGCTTCTGAGACTGATCTTCCCTCTGCAGCTCCGCCTCCGTTTGCCCCGCAGCTTCCTGCTTCGAACCTTTCCCCTATCAGTGAGCGGGATGATGGGTCTCCGGTTCTTACTCCTGTTTTGCGCACTTCGACAAACTTACCTCCACTCCGACATCAAACGGGTCAGGGAGATACTTTAGTCGGGCAGCGCTTGTTTGGTGAAAGTGACGATCTTACGGACATTGAAGTGCTAACTTCGCAGGGAACGGAGGTGCGTCCAAGCGCTTCTCCGGATTCAGACATTGTGTATCCAACATCTTTCGCCTCCGCGTGTGATGTTCGATCGGGCCAGCAGCCGACGGGTCAGGAGCCGGCGAATCCGCCTACTTTCGTCGTTAAAAATCGAAGATACGCTCCTAAAGCTCCTCGCCTTAGGTCTTCCGACGGCGCGACAAGCCGTGGTGCAGATTGCCGCACATCTAATGTAGGTGCTGATCAAAGTCACGCTCAACATCAAGGAAGTAGAGATCTGACGCAAATGCCAGAGCTACAAATGGAGGATTGGAAGACGATTCTTCTCGAAGAGGCTCGAAGAGAGATCCGCTCCGAGTTTTCAAAGAAATTTGCGGACCAAGTGGCGGAATTCCAGCGCAGACAGGACATCCTCGATGATGCTACTGCACGACTTGAGGCCCGGCCCTCTACTGGAGCTCAAAGCCTACCTGTAGCGCCGCAACCGCCTGCAATAGATTCCACCCTACAATATCCTGGACAGAGTAGTGGTTCGGCCTCTCGAACACGTGCTGACTGCCGCCATGTGTGGAAGGGCGGCTCGGTTGTTCGGAACGACAGTCCGAATTCCAGAAGAGCGGGCGTAGTGCCATCCCGAAATTTCGGATATGAGCTAGCTGTGGGCTCTTGCCAAGATCATCGACTGGAGCCGGTCGGCGAGTTTGAAGACCTCCCCGATCCGCCGAACTCGCCATTACAGAACCAATGCTCTGACCAAGGTTCAAGGACGACTCGAGGCCACCATCCCAACATCCACGGACCGGTGGACCTGGGCGTCGATGTTTATCCGAGTGCTGACGGCCGGGACGACCCCGGTCGCCTTTGCACACTTCTCGAAGACCTTCACACAGAGCGAAGCGTCCGAAGTGACCCTTTAGAACACCAAGCTAAATTGGAACCGGTAGTAGTTGAAGGTTCAGGAAGAATAGATGCCTTTGCGGCGAGAGACTGCGATGACCTGTTTTCAGATGCGGTTAACTCTGGGTTTCCAGTATGGATAACAGGAGAAACGCACCTCGGAAGGCCCGGTGACAACTATTCACTACCTCGGGTTGACGTTCTCATTCCTCAGAATAATGCGCAACGAGATAACAGAAAACTCCTGGAACAGTGTTTGACCCGCACTACCGCTATTTTGAAAACGTCGCTCGGGACTGTTTCGACGTCCGTCTTGACTTGTCTGCGCGGAGTCTTGCTTGGAGCTGCGTTCTCCGCAGGACGCGCTACTCGCAGTGAGAGGATGAGGCATCATTTGGAGTTCCCTTCTGAAAAGTCTCTCCGGCTTTGGACAGCGGCCTGGGACCGGTTTAAACAACAAGGAGCCGACGACCTTTGGTGTAGTGAGGGCAGTTCGATCTGCATTGAGCGTGTCTCTGTTGGCTACAAGGGCAAGATGCTAGCGTCACCCGGAAGTGGTGCGGAGTATTTGTCTCCTACGGTCGCGCCTTCAGGTATATCCAAGGTCCGACACACGCTTACGAAACCTGACGAACTTGGATGGCGTGTTGTCAGACCTCGGAAATCTTGTGGTCGCCTGCCTATTCCTGGACATACAGCGGCGCCTTTCCCACCAGTTACAGGCGGTTCATTCGCCGCGCTACGTAGTGACTTTGCCCCGCCAGCCGGCCGGAGCGACCCAGTAGTATCATCTGCGCAAGGTCTTGCTCCACAGAATGCACCGAAAGCTGAGGCGATTTCACGAACTCCGCACTTCAGCACTACGAGCTTACCATCGCACTATCCCCCAGGACTGGCTCCTGAGTCGCCGTCTACTCGCCTGATATACGCGCCAGCTCTCCCACCTGGCGGGGTCCCGAGCTTAGGAGCAGGTCATGGAGATACAGCCATCCCGTCGTCTGCGGTTTATCAACCGGCGCGACCTTCGACTTCAGGAATCCGCGGACACTCGACAGCCGCTAGTGCAAGTTCCGCTCTTCCGAAGCCTGGAGTGACAGAACAACTAGCAGGACACTCAGCATTTGTAATGGAACCGAGTGGACCGCCAGCGAACACTCATTTATCGGTCAACCAGTCCAGACCCGAGTTAAGCCGGTCTGACATCGGAGTTGGTGGGCCCGTTACACCGCCCCTACCAGCACCGAGGCCTATTTCTACTAGGCATACTTTGGAGCAGAAGTTCACTGGTAGTTCTCCGAACATAGTCTTTAGCAGACTATTGCTTGGAGTCTTTCCTCACGGGCCAGACTCTCCGGCCGAACAAACTACAGCCGAATATAGGTAGTCCGCGACTAATCTAATCTACCTTAATCGAGACGACTAATTCGCGAATTACAGGGGGGGTCTGCCAACATACTGACAATCATAAATAATCAAAAAGTCCTTTCATTTTACTCGAAATAGGTGCGGCCTCATCATATATTTCGCGATCTAATTAATCTTGCGGCGTGATAAGGCTATACCAAACACGTACGAGAGACATATCTAGACCTACGACAGATCACACCTAGATCACACTCTAGAATCGCGACTAGATCAGCCCCATTTTCCCCGCGTGGTGGAACCATCTACAGCACAAGGTGACTACTCGGCATCTAGAGATCATCCTAGAGGTCTTAGAGTGACTATCTGCCAGACTAGATAGCTCAGGAGAGAGCGAAGAGATCACCCCACTCCAAAAAGGTGCAAAAGAGCACTACACAAGCAAAATGCTTCCCAGATCTGAAACAGAAGCTCCAGATCTTTATTGAGAAGGACCTATTGGAAAAGCAATACAAATAGCCGCTATCTTATCGAACAAAAGGAGGCTCGAGATCGCTCCACTAAGTAGCATCCGTCTGGTCGCATATGGAGTCCGCGTCTTCATCTCTCACCTATTCGCTCGACAAGTTAAAACGATTAAAAGATCGCCACTTGACTCATTTAATACCTTTCGGAAAAGACGGAGCACACAAATGAAAAGACGCACTTGGGTCCTACGCTATGCGAGTAGAAGGATGAAGGACTGGCCATTTAAGATAAATGACTGCGTATTTACATACTTACACAAATCAAGGCAAGTTGGCCCGTCTTTCATAGGCATTGTTTTCTTTGCTTCGACTCCTTGCCCACGCGGGCGGAGTTTGTTAATTTCATAACGACAAGCAAACTTGTACTTGTTTGCTCGGGGCGTCTCACGCCCACGCGGAAAGCCCTTGCTTCTTGCTGAGAGTCATGCCATCGGTCACAGTGTCTAGGTAACTGCTTGGAGTCGAAGACCAAACCCGAGAACCTGGGCTGCTTCACTAGCTCCCCCCAGTTTTCCCATTGGTTCCCGACTAGCCATCTTGTCTCCGCGCCTTCGGTCCCACTAGGTGCGCTAATTTGCCTACCCCCGAAGTCAGCGCGTCCACCTTCACCCGCGGCCGAGCCGCTGCGAAGGCCTCCAGGCTCTGCCCTTCCGACGTTGAGTCTGTGAACCCACCTGCTAGGACGTCGAAGCCGCGCACCTGCTCCAGACTCCCTAATAAATATGGACGCGGATACCCGCGAGAGCTGTTTCCGCATCGGTTTGGCATAGAACTTCTCTAGTGGGGTGGCCTCGTTGCTCAGTCCACCGAACTTCAAGGCAGCGCCTCTGTTGAATTGTGAACGCAATGACGTGCCTGATGCCTTTATGCCTACGCGCCATTCTTGGAGTGCCGCTCTTCTCTAGTTCTTCTTCTTTTCGAGATGTGCTAGATCTATCAGCTTCCTTTATTTGTTGCATCAGATAGCTGCCGAAGCTAATCGACGAGGCTTCGTTGATTCGCATACGAGCGGCGCTGAGGATGGCGAAGACGTAGCCCTTCACGCGTTCCACCTGCTTGCCTTTGACTAAATCGATGCGGTCCTGGTCGTCACACGTCGGCGCGGCTGGCTTGCTTCCATGCTTTTCCTTGATGAGGAAGCCCCGCGCTTCCTGCATGGTGTCGGTCCGCCAACGCCTTCGGGGATGGGGGGGACGTGCCTAAGAGGAGGGACTGCAATTGCTGTGGTTCCCAGGGCTAGCCTATCCGCTTCCGCTTTGACTATTTTTAACGCCAACGAGCCGCCAGCTTTCGCCTCCACGCGTGACCATTCCAGCCCATACAATTCGGATTGCCGCCGCTCTCCGAGGAGCCCCACTCGCAACGCTAACAAAGTGCGCGCAAACGCTCCGAATCTGTGCAGCTCGTTGGCCGCCACCAACGACGCAGCGCAACCTTGGCTCTGTGCTTGCTACATCCCCACGAAGAAGTGATCAGATTTGTTTGAATTTAGTCTGAAACACTTTCCGACTTTAGCAAGCAAAAACTTGCGCAGGTGTGCGAATTGTGCGCAATTTAAAGCGTTCCTCTTCTCAGTGACGCAGTGGGAGCGCGCCTTCTCTAATGCTTCACGCAGCCGGATGATGGTCTTCGCCCTTGCGATTGCCGCCAAGTCAATCTGGGGGCAATGCGCCTCATGGTGGTAGCCAACTGCCGCAAGAACTCAGCTCATGACGCTCCAGCGTGCCTTGCCCTTGTGCAGCCCGTCGTCCTCCGCCACGCCCTTACGCTGAGCCAAGCAAGCGTCGCGCACCACCGTCGCGAACGCCTCGCATACCTCCGATGACGTTATCGGGGGCAGCATGGTCACGCTGCCCGCTAACTGGCAAGCCACTTTGAGCGTGCTTGCGTAGCCTGCCGCCGTTGTGTTCTTGATGGATGGCTCTTTGATGGCGTCGGTCCTCTTCTTCGGCGCCGCTGCTTTTGGCCCGCCCGCCGTCTCCTCGAACGATGCAAGTCCGTAAGGGCTTGGCCAGCTTGTCCGCCATCTTCGACGTGTTGACACTACTAGCCGCCGCCACTGGCGCCCGACTCTCCTTTGTGGACCAAAATTCCGCATCACCCACTTCGGGGCCCGACATGGCCTCGCGCGATCCTGCTACCACGTTCTTCAGACCCAACACCATGCGCGCTGTCCGACATTCCGTCACGGTGCCTACGTGGGCAGGAGTCTGCAGTATAGCGGGTGCTGTGTCGTCACTAGTGGTCTCGCTTGCTATTAAATGGATTAAGCATACGCTGGCCGTCGATCGCGAAAACAGCTGCAGTCTCATTTCGCAAAGCCACTTCTCTTAGTTATCTTCTGCCGCTTCGGCTTTCGCCGCTCTGTCGTGTCCCGTCCTCATTGGCGTCGTGGCTTCGCTGTGGTGCTGCATCAGTTTCAAGGGCGCCGACTTGATGTCTCCCACCCATTTGACAGAGCGCTGGTCGACGACTTCCACCCCACTAAGTGCCAGCTAATCCGATGCGTATGCATCAGATGACGCCGACGGCCCACCCGGTGTCGCACTATCTTGCTCTAGCAGATGTGCTGCCACCGCTTGCTTCGAGGACGCTGGATCCTCTGTCGGGGACGCGGCGCCCACCTTTCCTGAAGCGGTCGCCTCCTTACTTCGGGACGCTGCCTCAGCTGGCAGCAGCCTCTCGCTGTCGCTTTTTGCCCAGTCCCGTCCGGTGCGCCTTCTCCTTCCAGTTCTGCGATTATTCGCCTTCTGGCTCTCGCCTTCTCGAATTCCCGGCCTGAATTATCGCCACCCTCGAGCAGTGGCAGGCCTTTCGATCTCATCTCTTCATCTCAGACGGCTCGTAGCGCGCTTCGGTTCCGCCTGGCTTGCCCGCTATAATCGGCGGCGCCTCATTGTCGAAACGCCACGGATCTGCGATAGCCAGAAATAAATAATTTAGAGCGCAAAGGGCTGGCACCTACGTCATCACCCGAATCAGCAAAGTACGACAGCCATACCACTTAAAAACGTGCGCTATAGGAATCTGCTAGGTTGGGAAGACAACGCGCGCACTATGCTAAGGCTAGCCTATGTCGTTCCTGTGACACCAAAAGGACCCCAGCCAGCTTGGCCTGCCAGTTTCGCTCTGCAAGCGAAAGGCTATTTTTTACTCGCGCGCGACTAATTGTTTGCGGCAATATAATAAGGACAAGTGTCCGAAGTTTCGCCCTTTCTCAAGATCCCGCTGGACAATAATGCGCGGCCCCCTTCCCAGTTCAGATGTTTTAGCGGTTTCAGTCGTTTTAAAGTGTTCCGACATTCTGGCAGTCTACCTCAGAAGATTGCTGGGGCTCAGTGCCCGCAAGCCCCAGCCCTAGAGCACTCACTTCGCGGGCCCCCCTTGTCCAAGGCATACGCCCGAGCCAGTGGCGTCCCGGGATGTACACTATGCGGGGGCTTATTGGAGAGAGGGGCAAGGGGAAAGGGAGCGCCTTTCGCTTTTTCTAATTGTTCCCGTATCGCACCGGCGCCCTGAGCTAGTTGCAGTTTCTTTTTTAAGAAGATGCGGCGCCAGTGTCGCTCTTTCTGCTCGGCGTTCAATTACTTAGGTGAGGCCGCCTCTTCCTGGGTCCTCGCTCCTGCCTGCGTTGTCAGAGAGAGTCAGGCCCTGACTGATGCCTTGGGTATCAGCTCCGGCGTAATCGACTGGGCGAAGCTGATGCTCCGTCTCAGTGTCCGCATCGTCCGCCATGTCTTTTGCTTATAGTTGCGAAGTCGTCGCTGGGAGTGGTGCAATTACTATAGGCGAACTTTAGGCACTGGAAAGCTTAAAACGTTACGAAGAAGCTAGCGAAGTGAAATAAAAACGACGACCCCAGCGGGTATTGACTGGAGCGAAAGCTTTTCGGTTTTCGAGTTTCATTCTTTTCGCTGACTAGTCTAGGGCAGACCTGGCGTCTCATATCAGACAAGGCACCACTTGGCTCCGCTTCAAGTGGAGAAGACGCGACGGGCGTGCCTTCACTCGCGCACTCACCCTCCACGACGCTCATTCATCGGGGCCGAACGCCTCTCCATTAGGATCCGCGCTGACATTCATCCAGGTAGCGCGCGCCTTTAGTGGTTCTCACTCACCTGCAACGCAGGCCCCTGGGCTAACCATAAAGAGAACGCGGAATCTGCAAGATAATAAGACAAAGCGCACGCTTTTGATGTTAGGCGCATTTCTTTCGCCAAAGACTACGCAAGCGACAAGGCCATAAAGTTAAAGATAGCCCAATAGCAATAGAGTAAGCGAGGGACCAAAGTGGTGCCACTTTAGACGACACGCAAACAAGCCAAATACCTAGCGGCTTGAAGCCGCTGCCTCCACCCTTCGCAGTGGACTCCCAAGCTTATTCATCCGGAGAAATGCTGTAGATTCCAGCCCTCTACTGGGTGCCTTTCATGCCATGCATCACATGCCTGCAAGTCCTGCGTCTGTTTCGATTTAAGACCTGCTTCGGATACGGACACGCTGAACGGAGACTGCTCCTGCACCGCTTCCGTCGCTTTCTCGGTTGTAGTTGACTCCTGTCCTTCGACATGACATCTAGCGCACCTCCGACGCGCTTGAGCTGCGCCTGGCGCTCCCCATCAGCATGATGAAATTGCAAAGACGCGCGGTAGATTGCTACCATATTATCCCACAGCGCACCAGGTAGATCAAAGAGACCCTTCGGGCGGCCACTCGCTCCAGCGGATCCACATAAGACGCCCCATCTCCGCCTTCTACTCCCCTTATTTCTCACCCTAACCACCCGCACGAAGATCCATACAACAATCAGTAAACCACTTAGGAGGAGGACCTTCTTCAAAAGGGTCGCCACCTTGCTGCGCACAGACTAGAGAGCGAGAAGCTTCACGGGGCGCACCTCCTGGCGCCGCTACGCGCTGCGCAGCATCGGCTGGCCCTGCTTCGTCATCTTCTTCCACGTCGTCTGGTGCTGCCTCCTCATACTCTTGGAAGCACACGGCGCCCAGCTTTTGCATAAATGCCGCCGCAGCCGAACCGCCTGCACCTTGGTGCCCGTTTCTTGCTGCGTCTTCTGCCTCTGGCGATTGACTCCTTCCGGCGCTTGCGCCCTGCGCTCCTCGCTGCAAGAAGCTCCCCTAAGGCGCTAGCTGTCACCGAATGCTCCCGCGAGCGCGAGCGGGTGCCCAGAATGTCCAGCCTCAGACCCTTGCAAGCTCGACACCAGTGGAAGCACCCCACGCAGAAGCCCTCGCGAGCGGCGGCGCCAGTCAGCGTCAGAAGCTGCCCTACCATCTTGCCACGAGCCTCCGCCCCTTTGCACGCCGCTGCTTGCTCTCATGCTGCGAGGAGTTCTCGCCGCTCTTCGCGCTCACGCCTCTGCTGTTCCTCCAGGTTCTCTGTGTCAGAGTCTTGCTCTTCTACCTCGTCAGCATATCCCTCACCCTTTTCTGCTGCTTCTCGCAGACAGCACGGCACCGCCCCCCGCTCCAAGTTCTCACGCGCTCAAGTGCTGCGGCCAACACTATTAAGCTCCCCCACCTTCTCCACCCTGTCGCGGCTGTTCCCGTAAGAAGCTCCGGCCATTTCTGCCGACCAATTCAAGCCCTCCGCGGTCCTCACCCGCCGGCGCACTGGTTTTGCAGACTCTACCACCTCAGCCGCCTCGATGGTTGCCGGTTCGTTTTCCCATGCGCACTTCAGCACCCAGCAGCAGACTTGGCTACTGGTTGAATCTGGCCCCTTCCACTGCTTTGGCGTGCGTTGTTGTGATTTGCAGACGTCAGCCCGCTGCTTCACTCCTGCTGTCGATCGCGTGCACCTGTCCAGAAGAGGCACGACGCGGGCTAGCTGCTCCTCTCGCTGGTCCTCTGGCCAAAGCAGTAGGCGCCCCTTCAAACAATGCAGCGACATACTTTCGGCGAGAGTAGTGCAATCGCGCTCCGTCGCCGCAGGATTGAACTGAAACCCATCAAAGTCCTGCATCCTTCTGCTGCGTCATTCTTGTAGTCTTCGACGAGGTTGAAGCCTGGGCAGCTAGTGGGCCCAAGCCTTTTTCTGTGCTAGTTTCTCCAATGGTGCAAAGAAGCTAGCGCACCCGCACGACAGCAAGTTCCTGGGCCGTGAAGTCTTCCCCCCCGAGCCCACACAAGCACCAGCCGCATGGCAGCAATCAAAACTGTCAGCCAGCGCACCCAAGCAGGGGGCCTACCTAGTACTTCGATAGAGTGGCCCCCGGACGCCATGCTTTGCCAGCAGCCTCGAACCACTTGGCCAAGCCGTTTTTTGCCGGTCGAATCTGCATCCCCGTGGACTATTCTTCCTCGTTTTGGTGATGCCACAGGCTGGAAACTCGCAAAGCCTCCCCAAACCCCGCGCGCCTTCAATCAAGTTGGCGAGGCTCTCCGCCACCTGTGCCCCCAACATGTCCGGCAGACTCTCCTGGGCCACCTGCTGCCTTTCTGGAATCCAGACAAAGCGGAAAGGCTGAAACTTGGCGGCGGTGCCAGTCGTTGCGGCTCTCCCTATTCGAAGAAGCCCCTTCCTTCAGGTGTTGCTTTCTATCCCTATAAAAGCAACACACTTCAGCGCTTGTAGCTCCTAGCAATCTACGACCCTCGCCAGGATTGGGTTCTTTGTTCTGAAAGCTGCGCCAAAAAATGCCCCAGCAAATGACTAACAACCTTCAGAGAAATCACGCCAAACCCCGGCGGTAGCGGAGCGGCTAAAATTCTTAAGCCAAAGCCAGCGCGAACGTGCCACACAGTGGCGCCGCTTATCGAACTCAAAGCCAAGCAAACGGCAAAGCGCCAAGACTTCGCGGGAAGCTATGCGCAGCAGACTGACAGCAGGCGGGCCCCTCATGCGTCATGCTGCAACGGCTGGCAAACGAGATCGGGGCGCCCTTTGGCACATGGCGAGCCATCCACACCACCCACGCCAGCTGGCTTGCTGCTCCTGTATCCGTTGCACAGTTGCAGGCAGGAGGTGGATGACCCAACGCGAGGCGCAGTAAGTATGTACTTCCATTCGCCCACGGTCCACCCCCACGATCGCCAACGCAGCACGGCCGTACGATATTAGCCGGCTGATACCAAGGCCCTGTCGCGTCTTGAGTCCCTTAACCATCACAACCACAGGCGCAAGAAGTGCGCGACCCACGTCCCACGACTAACCCCACCAGCCAGCAGCAACTGCATGGCGCTACGGGTCCGCTTATCGTTCACGAATCTGGTCCAAGCGCTAGCCCTTAGCTGCAAACACCCCAACGCCGCCGCCCGATGCTGCTGATCTTCCGGGAAAGAATCAACCGCAGCTGCGCCCTCCCTCAAATGCCCAAAAGGCATCCACCAAGCCCCGCCCATTTTCGTCAGCTGCTTCCGCTGCTGCAGCAGCATCGGGCGCAGCTTTTCGAGTTCGTTTGTCGTTCCGTCTATTCATCAACACAGAAAGCGGCTCCTTCTTGCGTTTTCCACCATTGGCGACGAAGCACATGGGGCAGGCTAGTGGCATCCTCTCCCACTCTTTCGCACGACAGGGGTCTGCCTCTCCAGTCGTGATCTTGAGACCCACTGAAACTACATCGGCTACAGTATCGCGCTACTCTAAAAAATAAACTGCGCCATATCTGGCATAACGGTAATCAGCTACCTCGCTACGACTCTACCCCGCCACTATCGAAGGAGTGCTTTTACCTACTTGCGAACGAAGTCCGAGAACCTCCACACGGCAACAGCTCACTTCCCAAAAGAACACGAGCAAGCTACAGCCCACTGCCTAACGAGGGAACACGGAGCGAAGGCTGACCGATCAGAACACACACAGGGCACCGACTGCGAACACCTTGGCCAACATGGGCAAAACCACAGAAACAACAACAACGAAACCCCAGCGCAACCCCCTGCGAGAAACTTTGCACAACCTCCCGCAAACGGTGCAACAAAGCAAAAAATTTGGGCCAGCGATTTTTCTGCCAAGTTTCTGCATCTTTCAAGACCGTGGCGCCCGGCCTCGACATGGGATAGGATGGGATAGGTTAAGACGCGAGGGAATCCATCTCCTACGACAGTAGGCCGGCGGCCCATGGGAATGGCCTGTCTCATTTGTTTGGGCTTGGCGCGTTTTGCCGTGCGACTATTGTGCGACCGGCTAGGGAGGCCCTGTTATATGTAGCGTACTTCTACCGTAGTGTAGTCATTGCGTCAGGCGTGAGTGCCTCCAGAAGCGACGGAAGGCGAAGATGGTGGAGAGAACAGTTTACCATTATTAAAGAAGGCGGAGAGAATATATTATTACGCCTTAACAGTACTGCGTATAAATCCTCTTTCTCCGTCTCTTTTTGGACATATTAGAGAGGAAAGGAAGGCGAGCTCCTGTATAGCATAAAAAGGTCGTATGTGAGGACACTCGCCAAGAGCAAGGGGATGCCTATGAAGTCCACCGCTTAACAAGAAGTAGCAGCTCGGACTTGTTTAATTTTAGCAAGTAGGTGCCGAACTGCAGTTAGGGAGTGTCGAATTGTAGCAAGCAAGCGCCTGCTACGACGGTCCCCATCTCAAAAAGATAAAGTGTGGAAGTGAGACCTTTCGGGGAAAATTTCCCATCGGATAAAGGTCCAGCACAGCTTAGCTCAGTCCAGATCTTCCTAGCCTCGTGCTGGTTCTTATTCTAGAGCAGTTTATAAGGCTTCACAGCTCGCATGGCATGGAGTGCATGGATCACATGGAGCAGCATGGAGCTAAAGGGGGAGCCTCTTGCGCCCCTTAAAGCTCTGCGCTCCATGCACTCCATGCTACTCCATGCACTCCATGCACCATGCGTGCTATAAACTACTCTGTTATTCTTTGAGAAAGGTCCTGGCAATCCTTGACGCGCATGGAACTGCCTACATTTCTCAGCAAGCATTTTACTCTTTTCGGCTTCCCTACAAAGTGTCGCGATTCGTCAGAATATAAAACCAACCCCAACACTCCACACTTTCGGCTTCGGGTGCCTGACTGTGATCAGATGCCGAACATTCGCTAGTAAGTGTCAGACTTTGACTCGAACGCGCTTAATTTTTACGAGTAAGCGTTGCGCTATCGCTAGTAAGTGGCAAACCTTGACTCGAACGCGCTTGATTTTAACGAGTAGCCGTCGAGCCTTAGCTAGTAAGTGTCGAACTTTAACAAAAACGGGCTCAATTTTAACTAGTAAGCGTCGAAATTTGGCTAGAACGTGTCTAATTCTAGCTCGAACGCCTTTAATTCTAGAAAGTTCGCGCCAGTCTTTAGCCCGTATGTGTTGAATTCTAACTAGAACGCGTTTGGTTCTAACTAGTAAGCGTCGAATTTTTCAGCTGGAAAGTTTTTGATTTTAGCTAGAATATTTTGAATTTTAACCAGTGCTAGTGGGCGTCAGGCTTCAACTAGAAAGCGTAGTCTAACTTCAACTACAATACGCTTAGCTTTAGTATTAACCAGAACGCGTTCCACCATCCATCTTCCCTAGTACGTGCCTAGTCTTCATCAATAGAAATGTGAAAAACATAAGAGAGGCAAAAACTTAGATAAAGCAGAGGCGTGGAGTCAAGCATGTCGCGGCAGGGACGTGTGGGCAAGGAGGTGTGGACAGGGATCGATATGGAGCCAAAGAGAGGGAGGCAAGGATGCGGGTATAACGAGGTGAGGCAGGGAGGTGGGGGCAAGGAGGCGGAGGTAAGGAAGGCGAAAGAAGGCAAGCAAAGACGTGGGGACAGCGAGGCGGAACAAAATAGGCAACAGCCAAGGCAAGTGCGAGGGGCTAGAGCATGGCAAAGAAGGCCCAAGGCCTTCGCGATATCTAGCCGCTGTCGATATTGTGAGAGAAAACCCGGGGCGCGCGTTGCTTGTGTCTTGTCGAAAATCCAACGAAAACGACCCACCTGCGCGGAAGCGACGCCAACAAGTAGCACTTCTACTACTAGAGTGTAAGCACTGAGCTTCGCCCTCCCGTAATTTTCGTCGTCTGGGTCTGACAAGAGCCCTCGTGCTCGCATCATGAACAGGCTATTTCCTGTCGAATAAACGAGCCGGACGTGTTTCGCGCTTGCAGCTTTTTAGAAAAGGAAAATACCGAGAACAGTTGGTCGATGATTGGTTGGCTCACACTGATATAGCTAAGCGTGAGCGACTGAATGAATCAATTTGCCTAGCAGGAGGTGGCCCAGCGTCCTCTAACAAAACAAATGTTAACTGAGAGCGCGCTTTTCCTTCTTGGTAAGGCTAGATGTTGATCTAGAAGATGCTCATGTCTCCACCCTAATAGATCAAGATCAACTAATCACTTTCAAGTGAATGATTAGGGTACTCTACTAAGCCTCACGGACTCCGGTCCTCGTCCTCTGGCTCTCTCTCTCGACTATGATGACCCGGATCTACGGCAGCTTGCCTGAGACTTCCCTGACGGTTTCAGCTCTATAGTTCAGTGGTCTAATCATGCAGGAATGTCGGGAGCGCGATAATCTAGTCTAGTGCAGCAATGTCGGGGCCAAGCGTGCTCTAAAAATCTAGTGCAGCAGCTTCCTTGCATAATCCTTCCCCGCCTCCCTCATGGATCGAACCCACTCCTCCCTTTGATCCGGCAGTAGTGTCGAAAAGGGCGCTGCTGTGCCATCCACATCCAAATAAACCACAGGCTGCGCGGAATTCGTTTCTTCTTAGAGTGGGGAGCGAAGCTTGTTGAGAGATAGGATAGGAAATGGGTCGCCGTCCACGGTGTGACCTGCATCATCGAGCGAACATGTGTAGCCGCAGAAGGACTACCAACTTTTATTTACCTTTCAGCTACCATCTCCTCTGATCCTATCACGCCCCCTCTACTCGCTTCTATTGGACCGCCTGACCAATTTTATGAGCTAGCTTCTTGCTTATTATAAAGTGCTTATGTAGAAGACGAACAAAGAGAATGCTAGACCTTGACTTAGTTAAACCAGAGCTCCTTGACTTAAACCAGTCCTACCTACGTAACGATCTTGCAAAAGAATCTCTAAAGCTGAGTTTTCTTGTGCCTGCTCATCCTCTTCCCGTTGAGAGCCTCACTGTATCCTCAAAGCCCTAAAGGTGTTGCTTTGCCAGGCCTAAATACAGAAAAAACAAAAAGAGACAAGCACTCACCCTATGCTCATTCTGGTTCATGTCATGCTTCAGACCTGGATCACCTTCATCATGGTCTTTTTCACTTTTTGGGGTCAAGTCAGGAAAATAGCCGACGCGCTCGCGCAGTGCCGACACGCTCGCGCAACGCAAAGGCACGCAGCTCGCCCGCGCAGCGCCGAGGCAGCTCGCCCCCGCGGCGCCGACTCGCTCACGCAGCACAGACTCACCCGCGCAGCGCCGACTCACTCACCCACGCAAGCAGCGCCGACGCACTCGCGCAGAGCAGTCTCTCTCGCGCGACAGACTGACTGCACAGACTCACCCGCGCAGCGCACACCCACCCACCCGCGCGGCGCGGACTCGCTTACGCGGCGCAGACTCGCTCACGCGGCGTAGACTCACTTGCGCAGCGCAGACTCACTCACGCGGCGCCAAATTCACTCGCCCGCGCGGCGCAGAATTCACCCGCTCGCGCGGCGCGGAATTCACTCACCCGCGCGGCGTAGACTCACTCACGCGGCGCCAAATTCACTCGCCCGCGCGGCGCAGAATTCACCCGCTCGCGCGGCGCGGAATTCACTCACCCGCGCGGCGCAGACTCACTCACGCGGCGCAGTCTCGCTCGCGGAGCGGTAGCGCAGACCCACCCACGCAACGCGGACTCGCTCGCGCCGCGCAGACTCACCCACGCAGTTCGGACTCGCTTGCGCAGCGCAGACTCGCTCACGCAGCGCAGAATGAGAATCACACCACTCACGCCGCGCAAGCTTGACTCGCTTCAAGCGTCTTGCAAAGCGCGAACTTGGCTCGCCTGCGCAGCGCAGACTCATTCACGCAGCGCAGACCCGCCCACACAGCGCGGACTTGACTCGCCCACACACGAGCGCAGACTCGCTCACGCGGCGCAGGCTCGCTCTCGCGGCACCGACTCACTCACGCAGCGCAGACCCCCTCGCCCGCGCAGCGGCAGCGCAGACGCGCCCACGCGGTGCAGACTTGCTCGCGCAACGCACGCAGACTCGCTCGCGGAGCACAGACTTTCTCACGCAGAAGCAGAACGAATTCACCCACACAGAAAAAGCGTACTCACTCTCGCGGCGCATACGATACTCACCCGCGCATCCCAGAGTCACTCGCTCGCTCACGCGGGGCAGACTCGCTCGCGCAGCAGTCGCCAGCGCAGACGCGCTCGCCCGCGCAGCGGCAGCGCAGACCCGCCCGCGCAGCGCAGACCCACTCGCGCGGTGGCAGCGCAGACTCGCTCACGCAGCGCAGCCGCAGACCCCACTCGCCCACGCAACGCAGACACACTCACGCAGCACAGAAGCAAGCCCACTGACTCACGCGCGCGGCCTCCCTCACTCGCGCGGCCCAGACAGACTCGCTCGCGCTGCCCAGACTCACTGCTCGCGCGGCGCAGACTCGCGCGCGCGGAGCGGACTCACTGCTCGCGCAGCGAAGACTCACCCGCGCAGCGCAGAATAGCTCACGCAGCGCAGACAAGCTAGCCCACGCCGCGCCCAGCCGTCGTCTCGCTGGCTCGCGGGGACCAGACTCAGCCACGCTGCGCGGCGCAGACTGAGACTCGTTCGCGCCGTGCAGATCCGCTCGCACAACGCCGACACGCTCGCGCGGCGCGGACTCGCTCGCGCAGCGCAGACACGCCCGCGCAGAGCAGACGCGCTAGCGCAGCACAGACTCACACTCACACTCACTCGCGCCGACTCGCTCTCGCAGGGGAGCAGACTCGCACACGCCGCGCAAACTCACTCGCCCACGCTCGCGTTGCTCGTTCGTTCACGCAACGCAGACCCGCCCACGCCGCGCGGAGGGACTCACTCTCTCACGCAGCGCGCGCAGAGTCGCTCACCCGTGCAGCACGGGCGCACTCCACTCGCTCGCGCGCCGCCGATTTCCTCGGCTGCTCGCGCTGCGCCGGTGCGCTCGCGCAGCGCGGGGCTTACTGCTCGCTCCGAGCGAGCCGACCCACCCACGCAGCGCGGACGCGCTCGCGCGGGTCGGACTCGCTCGCGCAGCGCAGGCTTGCCTCGCTCTCGCTCCCGCAGCGCCGACCCACTCGCGCAGCAAAGAGGACGCAACTCCGTCCGGACACAGATCGTAAGGCAGCCACCCCCCGATCTGGCGGAAGTTTTTCTATCGCCGCGCCTCGGGTTGAACTATTGAACTACTGAACTAGTTCAATTATAGAAACTGC